GTGCCTTTTTCGGTGGTTGATATGTAGTTCCCGTGGTTATACTTAACTACTAATCAAATGCCAGTAATGAGATTAGTGTCAACTGGCAAACTAGGTGATGTCAATTCCTGATTTGGCTATTTCAGGCATTTAAAAAATATATATAAAAAGAAAAGCTCAATTGACTAGAGCCTGAAAATAGTATAGAATTTGACTTTCCTGGCTGATGATATAGTCTGGAATGTCCAAAAGCTGAGAAGACATTGCATAATTCTGGAATTGTTTGACTGTTGAGGTAAATTAAATGTTAAATTCAAAATAAAATGGAAAAGTTATTTTCTGATTTTTTTCCTATGTGGATGTATGAAAGAAGTTTGTTGCATTTGGCTTAAATGTAAGGTTTACACATATAGTGATGACTTTGCATAAATTCAAACCACGTATGATTGATTTGAGAAGTCAGAGGAACTTGAATAAAAAGAAAGATAGAAATTTGATCCAGGGTTTTAGTTGCTTGCCAAACTTCAATTGTAATTTGGAATTTATTTGAGCAGATTACATCCATTAAGGTCATTCGCAATAAGCAGACTGGTCTATCAGGAGGATATGGATTTGTGGAATTTTTTTCACATGCAACAGCAGAGAAAGTTCTTCAAAATTATAGTGGCATTTTGATGCCTAATACGGATCAACCTTTTCGTCTCAACTGGGCTACTTTTAACACGGGAGAGAAGCACACAGAAAATGGTCCTGATCTTTCTATTTTTGTAGGAGATTTAGCTGCAGATGTTACTGATAGCCTATTGCATGAAACTTTTGCTAGTAAATATCCTTCTGTTAAAGCTGCAAAAGTCGTAATTGATGCTAACACTGGTCGATCAAAGGGTTATGGTTTTGTGAGGTTTGGAGATGATACTGAGAGATCACAAGCCATGACCGAAATGAATGGTGTATATTGTTCAAGCAGGCCTATGCGTATAGGTGCTGCAACTCCCAGGAAATCCTCTGGGTATCAGCAACAATATTCTTCACAAGGTATTTGATTATTTAATTTGCTTTTTCTTTATGCATTTATTTAAGCTTGCACGCAATGGTACTTCTAATTTCTTAAAATTTATTTAGTCATATTTATATATATTGCTAAAGTGCTTATATTTTACCTCTATATTGACTTATGCACTTGTACTTTTTGCATCTAAATGAATGTTTTTCTCTTTAGGATCCTCTGCAGTTTTAGATGCTAAAATTAACTTGAATCTTGCCCCACCTTTTCCCTTTGAAACACCTTCCTAACAAATTTGGTGCAGCTGCTCCTACTTTGACGTGATTTTTGCACTGAGAAGAACAGTGAGTCCTTCTCAGACAGTTCATAATTTTCTATGCTGCATTGTTGGGCACTAAAATGCTGGTTTTCTGTTTGTGTTTTGTGTAACTACCTACTTTGCCTTTTCTGTTGGGCAACTAGGTTTTGTCTCTTTTGACGGGGTTTTATGGCTTTCTATGTTGCTGTTTATAAGCACTGCCCTTTTCTCATGCAATATCATGTAAATTGTTTGCATCCTTCTTAAATGAGCATGACTAAATTTCGAGAGGGGCATTGCATTTTCTTTGTCAGCAATTAAATAGCATAAGGGTTGTTAGAAATTGCCGAGGATAGTTCATATATCATATGTGGCTTGTGGTAAGGACTAGTTTTGTGAAGAAACTGTTACTATGAATTGCCTTTTAAATTGGATATGAAGAAGTTTAAAGTTTATTTATTCTCAAGATTTTTCAAATTGAAACTACCATAGGATTGTGTTTTATGAGAGAAGTTAATTGGGTTATCTCTAATTTGGATTATATTTGATTGAGAATTTCTGTCATTTTTCCATGACCGTAGCATCCTTTTATCTGAACTATGAATCATAAACTTAACCATCTTTCTCCTTTTTCCTTTTTTCTTTTTTTTTTTTTAAATAAATCTTAATAGGCTTTTGTCAATGTAGCAATTGCATGATTGGCATTGTACGAGAAAGTCAATGCTGAGATCGTTGCCAAATCCAGTTGCTTCTGTACCTGGTTTTATATCTGCATCCTTGCACAGAATTAATTTTTGAACCTATTCATCCTTGCCTCATCTAATTTTCAACCTCTCTAGACAAAGTTACTTGTTATAGTCTAAAGCTTTTAGGGTTTTTGTTTGATACTTTTTGCTTCCTTTTTGTTCTTGGAAGGTGGCTATGCATCAAGTGGTGCTTCAACCCAATCTGATGGAGATTCTTCGAACACGACTGTGAGTTTTTCAGTTCCTTCTTTCAGCTTTGACTCTTAGGAGCACCACCATTTGTGCCCCTTGGCTAATCAAATTGTATTTTAGATATTTGTTGGAGGACTTGACCCTAATGTCACCGAGGAAGATCTGAGGCAACCTTTCTCTCAGTATGGTGAAATAGTCTCTGTTAAAATACCTGTTGGAAAAGGATGTGGTTTTGTACAATTTGCCAACAGGTAAAATTTTGTAGCCATCTGCTTTTTCCGTATAATATAATGTGATATTAAAGGTGTAATTTAGTTATTAACTTATTATTGAGTTACTACCTTGATGTAACTTCTTGAGTCTCAATAGGAACAATGCTGAGGAGGCATTGCAGAAGTTGAATGGGGCGGTAATTGGCAAGCAAACGGTGCGTCTTTCTTGGGGACGCAATCCGGCAAATAAGCAGGTCTCTTATGTCTATCCATAGTCTCCTGTGCCCTCCCTTACATCGTTTATTGCAGCATTATGATTAGGAAAGCTGTTACAACATGCTTTTACAGAAATGGATGAGAGCCACTAAAAATTAGTCATTACCAAATTTCTTAGGAATTATTTGATGGCAGTTTCTGAAACAAACCTTTGAAACATCTTCCTAGCTGTCACTTGAATAAATTGTTTTTATTTAATCTATTATTATTTGTGATAATGCAGTTTAGAGCTGATTACGGTAACCAGTGGGGTGGAGCTTACTATGGAGGGCAGATGTATGATGGCTATGGATATGGATATGCTTTGCCACCGCCACATGACCCTGGCATGTATGCAGCTGCAGCTGCCGCATATGGAGCTTATCCTATATATGGCAGTCATCAGCAGCAAGTAAGCTGAAATAATAACAGCAGGAGAGAAGTTGTAGGCTGTAGCTCTAGTAAGTAGACACTCAAACTAGAAGGGGGGGAACTGCCTGGTTAGTTGTTACTCCGTAGCTCTCTTGGTTCTGTAGAATTCTTTTAGAAATCCCTCCATATGAGGAGTGGAACTGAATTTTGACCACTTTAAGTAGGTTTTTTCTAGGGATTGGATTTATTATTTGTTTAATTTTATGTGATAACAAAGGGGAACTTGGTGATTGGAATGTATGACTTGGCTCTTGGCTGACCTGTGTGGTAGTGTGCTTCATGAATAAAAGTTAATAACTTGTTCCCTGCTGCTCTTCTTCACGCATAAATGGAAGACCGTTTTTTTTTAACTTGGATCACGTTTAATCTTTCTTATTAAACAATATCTTTTACACTTTAAATTTTTGGGCTACTACAATTAGGAGTATTCATAATTTGATTTTAATTGATCTATCGAACCAATTTAATTTAATTAATCAATTGGTTATCAAATTAATTTTGATTAGTTATCCAAAATAATTTTAGAAAATTTTTTATTTTTGATTAATTCGATTCAAAAATTGAATTAATTGATTTAATATTTTTAATTCAAAATATTATAAAATCTATATTTAAAACTAAAAATATATGAAATTATTCATTTCATTTTAAGTTATTAGAGTATATAACTTAATATTTTGGTGTTTGAATTTTTTTAAATGATTTTATTTAACTTATTTCACATATGAGAAAATAAAAATTTAAAATATAATTTAACTTAATATATTTTATTATTCGATTAATTGAAAAGATTAACTAAATCAATCAAATTAATTTTGATTGATTAATTTTTGAAATTAAAAATTTAATTTAATTAATAAAAAAATAATATAATTCGATTAATTCGATCTAAAATTAACTCAAATGACGGAATAAACACTTCTAACTACAATTTTGATTGTTTGATTAAGATGAACATTGATTGATTCTAACCATATTTAAAGTTATTTTTATTTATGTATTTAAAAAATTATTAATAAAATGGAGCCTAACTTATTTTTACTCATGGTGCTCTATTTTTTTTAGCAAATAAATCGACATTGTTATTAAAAAATTATAATTTTTTGATCAGTAAAGATCGGTTGAGTTTATAAGAAATTCATTTATAAAATATAGTTTTGATTCTCACTAGTAATGATTGATTTTTTGTTAAATAATTTATAAATCTAATATAAATTTAAATTTTGATTGAAACTTAAGACAGACTCTGATTTTGAAATATACGTTATTGGTCTATTTTTTTTAAAGCTACATTCCAATTATTTTATAAAACGGTGCAAATAATAATCACGACCATGAGCGTAAATAATCACACCAGCATTAGTACAATGATGATGGGCGGTTAAGCAACATTGCTGCTCTTGTAGCCCAACGGTGAAGCCAAGAGCCAAAATCTTACGGCGCTGCCCCCGTATCTGGGAAAAATATCATCTGAATTTATGAATTTATATGTTAACTTTAGTCTAATCATGTCATCCAATTATATTATTAACAAATTTAATTTAATTGTTATCTAATTCTATTATTAAAAAATTAATTATTATAAATAAAATAAAATAAATATTTTATTTTTATAAATTCTTACATATAATTAATTTTTTTAATAATATAATTACGATATCATTTAAATAAAAAATTTTATATATGAAATAATCATTTTGTCCCCTCCACGTGGCCCTCATTGTCAAACTAAACTCGGTCATCATCCCATCACGCTACCCCTCGTTTTCACCAACTATAAAAAACCAGAAAAATCAACGGTTGTTTCACTGTCATCCATGAGGAATGAAGGAGCTGCAGGGAATTAGAAGAAGCCTCCTCTTTTTAGTCCTTGCTGGCAAGTGTTTGGACCATGGGGCGGGAGCACAACATCCAAGGGATTGATAAGCGGAAAAAAGAATAAATCCACCGTTTGGTTATCCGAAAAAGATCAAGCAAATGTGATCAACGGCTGATCTTAAAGAGAAAAAGTGGTGACCGAAGGAAAGGCAAGGATGCTAGAGTGTCGGCGAGCATATGACAAGGGTACTACCAAAGAAATAACACGTGGCATTCAGTAACCTCTACAGGTGTACCCACTTTAAGCGTCGGCATAAAAAATTAGGGGTTCAGTTTTGTTTAGTCTTTTTTTTAGTGAAACAGAAATTAATTAATTATTTCATGGTTAAGTAGTTAATTTGGTAACAGCTGCTCCCTTTGGCCCATCCCTCCTTTGCTCAACACGTTTCAATGGCTCTCCTCTCTCTCTCCTCTCTCTCTCCTCTTCCTCCGCCATGTTCTTCTTCTCTGCAACTTCACACCCGAATCTCTTTATCTCCTTCCAAGATCGGAGCTTCTTCGTCTTCGTCGACTTCGCAAGTGATTAAAAACACTCCTTCAAATCTGAAAGTCGTCGTCACCAGAGAACGAGGCAAAAACGCCAAGCTCATTAACGCTCTGGTTTAAACTCTTATCTCTTTCGTTTCTCTTCTTTGAATTTTTTATTTTCTTTTCTTTTAAATCTTTTTTATGATTTGATTATTACTATTTCATTTTTGTTCGTTATCAAGCTCATTAGTATTCTGCTTTTCTCACATTTTACTTGAAACTTCAATAGGAAAAAGGTTCATTGTTTAACTGTATATAAAGAATCATCCATTGCATTCTGAATTTAAGATCGGTTCATCATCTGTTTGATTAAATGCTGAAACAGAAGCAACATCTAAGTCATTTTTAATTGATTTATGCAGCATCTAAGTCATTTTTAATGGTTTTTTCCTCAAATATATATATTTTTGTTATTTTGTACTCTTCTGTAAACGTAAATACTATGATGCGAACTTCGAGTCTGGTTCGTAGCAAATAAAAATATAGAATTAAAAAATATTAAAGAATGTAGAGCACATGCCATTGCTATTTCGAAGGATCTAGCTGTAAAAAAAAAAGTTAATATTAGAACCAGTAGTACCGGAGATATATTTAGGTTCAAAGTTTGTCTGGAATAAATGAATTTTTGAAAATTTTATAGGAATAATTTCTATTTTGCGTTTTGCGATGATTGAAGAGTGACAATGTAGACTAAAAATCATTCCATAAATTTTGCTGAATTTATTTATTCCATATGTTTATATGAATAATGATAATAGAGAAAAAGTGATTTATTGAAATAATTTTTCCTTCTTCTATTATGAACTTTTGTTTAATTTAATTGAGTTTCTTAATTTTAAAATTTTTCCTCAAATGGTTAATGGTTCAAATGGACTAGGTATATTTAGGTGCATTTGGTTATGTTAACTTAGTTCAATAGATCAGATGGCCTTTATTTAGCCGTGGGAAGTGAAAATTTATGGCCTTGAATGGAAGTTAAAAAAATGGAAACCACTATTGTCATATTTTCTGTGCTTATTGCTGTACCCTGACATCCACTGTTCCACTGCTATTCCTGTCTGTTCCCATACATATATCTCTGTGCTTTTCTTTTATCCATAGCTTTCATTTAAATATTTGATAATGGGAAACATTAGGATACTTAAATGAAATTCAAATTTTTTTTATTTTTAGTTGATTGTGCAGAATTATAATTTAATGCCCTTACTTACTGCAATGTGTGTTTTATGGTGCCTTGTCTGTTCACTTTAATATTGATTATTCATTATTCAGTGTCAGCTGATGGTGAGTTGTAATGCTGATTCTTGGGTCCCACTGATGCTGTTATCTACAATAGTCCTTGAACATGTTTGTTAGGCCTAAAGGATATAGCTAAATCTGTCCAAGGACAATACATACTAAAATCGGACATCCTGCTATGTATTCAGCTCAACAATTTTCATACAAGTATGTATTCAGCTTAATATTTTAGTAAATCACAGGCCGAACATGGGATCAATTGCTTGGAGCTTCCCCTCATTCAGCATACACAAGGGCCTGACTTGGATAGGCTATCCTCTGTTTTAAGTGGTAACTTTGAAAACTTCGTGCTCTATATTGATAGTGCGCATGGTTAGTGTAGTGAATAGACTGTTGCAAAATTGACATGGATGGCAGGCAATCTTTCTTTGGAAATATATGTCTAGTTAGTTTGAGGATGCTAGTCTCCTTTAATGCTTGCTAGATATAATACACATGGTTACATCCATTGGCTTCTAAGCTGTTGCTTATAAAGCCCTGTTCAGTTTTGGCCCGCAAACTCAAACCATGATATTTGTGATTTTGAATGGCATTTTTTGCTTGATTATACTGCTTCTTCATTGTGTGAAACAGTGGAATATCTAGGGTATAGTTTTGTGGTTATCATCATGAATAGTATGATTGCAATCAATGCTCCTAAGGACAGTCTAGATAAAGATGGTACAAGTTATTTTTGGCTGTCTTGTTTTATAATATATGTATATATATTTTTTGTGGTGGCCGCAGAAAGGACATTTGATTGGATTGTCATAACTTCGCCTGAAGCCGGTTCGGTCTTTCTAGAGGCATGGAAGTAAGGGCAGCGAGGAACTTTCTTTTCATGTCAAAATTTTTTTCAGCATTTGGTTTGGGTTTTAAGAATCTTTAATGCTCAAATGATGTGTTATTGCTACGTGTATTAATTAATTTAATCATGCAATATTCATATTTTTATTAGCAATGCTTAAAAGTTATATATTTGTGTGTGTTTTACATGTGGGTGTGTCTAAAGGACATCTTTATTCATGGCTCCTAATTACATTTTTGTCTTTTGATTAGAGTTTAATTTACTTTGCTTGGATGCATGGGCTTAATTTTTTTTTTCTTTAGGGCAGCTGGAACCCCAAGTGTTAGGATAGGCGTTGTTGGAGTTGGTACAGCAAGTATTTTTGAGAATTTAATGCAATCATCAAAGCAATCGCTCGATGTTGCTTTTGCACCATCAAAAGGTACTTATCTCTCTTTTCATAAGTTTATTTATGTGTCATCTTTGTTAGTGTTTGCATATAGGCATGTGTTTAAGTTAATGCCTATATTCAATTTTCTAGGTCATTTATAAGAAAAATAATCTTACATCTACTTTGGGTGGGATTCTTCTAACCAATAAATGGAACACATGCCATAATTGTTTTTGTCCTATTAATTTCAATGCATTTACGAATTTGTAGTAATTTTTGTTTAAACTGCAAACATTAAATTTTGACCTTTTCGGATGCTTATGATTGCTCCTCATTTTGTGAGATATTTTTTTCTACATTAGCTTATTGGTGATGCCATAACATTATCTACCCTTTCTTTTATGTGATTGACATGTATTTACGGTTATAGTAGAAATCATGATACTAATTGCATTCTATTATGTGTTTAAATTCAACTCATTCAGCAACAGGCAAAGTTTTGGCTTCAGAGCTTCCAAAGGATGGGAACAAAAGGTGCACAGTCTTATATCCTGCTTCTGTAAAGGCTAGTAATGAGATTGGTATGGTTATTTTTATGGTTTTCTGATTTCCTTTTCATGGATATCTATTTTTCTGGCGTGATTTTGAGATTTTTGTTATTTGATTATTTGATATATCCCTCTCATGCATTACCATTTAATCAGAGGATTTGTAAGCTAAAAACTTGACAATGAGTAGCCATGACTTTCATCGAAAACAAAAGCCTCAAATTTTAAATCCTTTAAACGATAAACTCGAAACTTAAAAAATAAAAAGGGAGAAGAAACCTTTACCTCGGGGCTGGAAAAAAATGAGATTTAAGTTGTGAAAAAACACATAGGTTGAGTCAGTTTAAAGCTAAACCCGCCACCAAAAAAAAAAAATCTATTATCTATTAATAAATGCACATCAAGGTGTGGTGGTGTCCTTTTTATTACCCTCAAAAGATTGAGGTTTGTTGCTTTTGTTGTTCCCCTACTATTGGTATTACTTATCTGAAACTGTTATTTACTTGAGTTAATTAGTTGCACAATCCATTTTCCCCTGTTATATTTGATTTGTCTTTCTTGGTTTTGTGAATTTTCAACCGAAAAGTCTGGCTTGGTCGAGGAATTCTTATAAGTAATTTTTTCTCATTGCTGTGCTGATATTTTTCTTAAATCTAGTGTCATGCTTGAAGTTTAATTATTATACTAGGAAACTGTGAAAACTGACCCTTGATTTTGGCATATATGTTGCAGAAGAAGGCCTCTCTAATCGTGGATTTCAGGTTGTGAGACTGAATACATACACAACTGTGAGTATCTATGTGTTGGTAATTTTAGTTTCAGGTCCTTTTGTAATATTGTATGGACAATAGCAGCTATATGAGATATTTGTCAGAGTAACTATCTCCTGCAAAATGGTGTTGGAGTCTGTTGATAGCCCATGAATGTCTTGGAGACTGCATTATGCTGCTTTATTTTTTGTTGTCCTCCCTTGGTTCTTGTGATAGCAAGATTTACTCCTGATTCAATATAGTAGCTTGTAATTGAAGATGGTTTTTGACCGCCAATTGAGCATACTCTCTTGGTCCTTGATGTTTAATCATTCCTTTCAGGTACCTGTTGATCATGTTGACCAAATAGTCTTGGAAGAGGCCCTATCTGCCCCGGTTGTTGCTGTTGCTTCACCATCTGCAGTTCGGTATATAGTTGATTCCTTTCTCTTTACTTGTAATTAGTTTTCCCAAGTAAAAGGCTAACTTAAAGTTTTTCTGTCTGTTAATGAGGAAATTCTTGCTTTGAGCTGACCTTCTGCCAGCTCGTTAACCATCCTGTAAATTTGTTACTTCATGTAATTTGGATTATCATGGTAGTCGGACCTTACTTGATGCCTTTTGATATGGATGACAAAAAATTTGTCCTTGCTCCTGTTTTGGCTGCCTGCACTTGCCAAGCCTTTTATTGGGGCAATTTTTTTTCCTTGTACTTAGTTTATACACCTCTGCTGCAACAGAGCCTGGGTCAATCTTATTTCAGAACCTGATTCTTGGAGCAATTCAATTGCCTGTATTGGCGAGACAACTGCCTCAGCTGCAAAAAGATTGGGACTGAAAAATGTATATTTTCCGACAAAGCCTGGACTTGATGGGTAATCCTCTTTCTTTTTTCTAAACTTTCTGCATGATGTTTCTGTATTAGAATTTACTGGTCGCTAAATTGGTATGCTCTGACCTTAAGTAACGGTAGGTTGGATCTGAATTCCTTTGACTGTTGAAGCAACCATAGAGTTAAACTACAGCCAAGGTCCTGCAATTGTATTTTGCTTCAATAGCCAAGGCTCTGCTGCCAAAACCACTACTCTTGAGGATTGAGTGAAGTTCTGTTTGAGCTGAGCTTCCTTGACTTGGCAAACAAGTTCTCCCATGTGTTATATTCACTTTTTTCCTCTCTCTAGACCTCTGTAATCTTGATTGCTTATTTATCAATTGGAAGTTGTTATTGACTAAATTAAAGATTCTGACAACTTTGATTCTTTTGGATTGGCAGCTGGGTTGGTAGCATCCTTGAAGCCTTAAGAGCTTATGACAGTTTTTAGGAATGAAAGTTACTAAGGTAACTTTTTTCCCCTTTTCTCTGGTTATTCCTCGAAGTAATATCATATTTTCTCAAAGAATAAATGAGTTGTTCTACTAGGCTCCTTTGGAAGGCTGAAGAGAGGGTGAAGACCACAAGCCTTCCAATTTCCGTGTGAAGCGCAGAGCACCAAAGTGAATAAAGTTTTTCCAAGTCATAGGATGGGAATTTGTTGAAAACTGAGCATTTTGAAGGTGCATATTCTATTGGCAGCACTCTAATTGGAGGTTAGTCAGAGGCTATTCATTCAACTTGTACATAATTTTTCTTACCGTAAGCCCATTTATTCTACTCAATGTCAGTTGTGTTGAAATTGAATTGCGGCACTGCGACTCCATGAAAGCTGATAAGCAGTAGGAGACTTTATCAATTCAAGGTGTAATAAAAGTTAGTGTGCCTTTTATGTTGTAGTATGACATTTTTGTACGTTTAAGCTGAGAATAAAAATCACTTTAAAGTAAGAACCTTTGTGCTAAAATTGCAATCTAGTATGTTTATACTGAAAATTTTATATTTTGCTGTCAATCCTTCCCCGCATGAAAATTTGATTATCTTATAAGGTTTATAACTGAGTTTCTGCTTGTGAGGGATGAATTCATTGAAATTTTACACGAAGGGAGATATGTCAGGTAGAGATAGAGAGGTTTTCACACCCATTGCACAAGCTCTTTGCGCTTTGGCACTTTGGCCTAATTTGTACAAGGATTATGCGCTTGAATGATTATGTATATTCGTAGATAGATGTTAAAAATAGAAACAAAATAATACATTGTCCATACATTTCTTTACCTTTGGAAATAATTCCATCAGCAGAGAACTGGTTCAATTTTCCGATGATATTTCTTCTCCTTCCCTTTAACTTCTGTGAAAAGTTAAATAGAGAAAGCATATTTCTCCTTCCCTTCCCATTTTAAATTTCTGGAATTTCAGAATAAGAGAGCTGCAGTACCGTGAGGGCTCTCAATGGGTTTGTTAATAGGAAGGAGGGCTAGGAGGCAGTTTCCCCTGAAGGAAAGATGTGATCATGGTAAGTGCTCGTTCTGGTTGGTAGCTTGGAACTGCGTGTCCAGCTCCCCGAACTGTGGTAAAAATCAATCCCTTGTAGCCAACAACGTATCCTCCAACCTGCCACCATCAGCGTTTAAGTATGCATAAAAAGTTATTGCTTTGGATCTATCAAATGGGCAGGAAAGATCATATTACCTCACTATTAGAGTACCATGGCTGCCATGCTGTCTCTACTGGAAGTTCTAGGGCCTTTATGGCATACCTAGAGGATGTCACTGGAACTCGACCATCTGTGTCGCCACTGGCAGCAGAATTTATTTTAGAAAAATAACCAGTACATGTGTTATCAGTCAAGTTAGGCGACTTTTAATCCATACCTGTATACCCACACCCTAATCTCTCTTGCTAAATGCCGTATTTCAGGAAGAATAGACGTCGGGCTGTCTGTCCATCCAACATTACTGAACATAGTACAGAAGCAGACCGGTCAGGAATTCTGGTTTCGCCCTTCCAATTTTTTGTGACGTAGTATATAAAATTTCATGTAATTTGTATGTGTATCTTGTTATTGTTGATCGCAGATAATATAGAATACTCCATGAAAACAGATTTTTGAAAAGAGAATTGGCGGATTATTTTGTGAATGTCTTGAAAGCAAGAAACTGTGGTCATGCCTACCTGCAACCTGACCATTTTGTAGCTTTGGCATGAAGGGTTGCTTGTACCTCGGCAAGATTTAGGTAGGAATTGACGTGACTTTCAGAGCAGGGATCAAAGTTCATGACCTAACAATTCAAGATCATCGTAGAATTAGGTCAGTCCATGTCTTTAGGCGCATTTACTCTGAAAAGCCTTTTGACTTGGCTTCTCTAATTTTGACTATAAATAGCTCACATCTATGGTCAGTACTTTTTATATTGCTTTTTTGGTATAAATACAAGTTTGAATATAAAGGAGACGAGGGTTTTAACTTTCTATGGCTGAGAACCAAAATTTCTTTCCTACTCATTTCTTCATTGTCTTAATCAGTAAAATATTGTTGAGTAATGCATGATAAATTTAGTAGTATGATACTTACATTGCCATTTGAGCCAGGTTTTAGTGCCGATGAATTGCATGGAGGCGCGTAAATACCGTACAAGTCAATGTTTCCCATCTCTATAAATCCCTTAATTTGATACTTTCCACATAGGATACCATCTGCCATCTCGTTAACTGAATCTTCACTAGCAAAGTTGCAGTATTTCTTAATTCCTTCATTGGTTTCATCTGAGTTGAGAGCGTGTGTCCATAAATAGTCATACAATCCCTTTGTACAAATGCCGTCATCTACCCAAGCATTTCCTATCTGCAATATCCATTACAATTCTCAGCTTTAAGCTTTTAGATTCTCTCATTTAGCATACACAAAGATAAGGTTCATAGTGGTAGAAGGGTGGTTTTGTCAGTGAACTCACAGCAATTCCTTTGAGATTGATGACGGTTTGATTTGTGTTCTTGTTTCTTGAGAGAATATAATAAGCAAGTTGAGGAACATAATGGCCGGCATAGCTTTCACCAGCTATAAAAAAATCGCGGGTTTTGTACTGTGGAAATCTTTCAAGCCAATTAAGGAGAAAAATGTAGGAGTCCTGTGCTGTTCTCTTGTCACCTACTTTGGTGTAATCAGAGGAATCATTTGAATAAGAAAAACCAACTCCTGCTGGTGATTCCAGAAAGATCACGTTTGCAACTGCAAATTTGCCAAGGATATGTCAATTGAAATCAAGAGAATCAGATCATATGTTATTGTCAAACTGAAAAGAAAGTTCATGTACCATTGTTCCATGCATATTCATTTCTGTAAAGCGTTTTTCCATCACTGTTTACTCTGAAAGGTCCAAGTTCCTGCATAGCTCCATATCCAAACGACGAGCATCCTGGACCTGTACATCATAGTCAATCAACCCTTTTCTGCCTTTTTTTTTCTAATTAATTTCTATATTCTAGACACTATATTTTGCCTGGCAGAGTGATGATAATATTCAAGACCTTCAATGACCATGTTTACCATGACCATTTGATGTTGCTGCTCCTACGACCGAAGGTGGAAAAAACAGAACTTCCTTTTCTTTTTTCATAATAAAATTAAGAGGTGAACCAAATCAAGATTCCATCAAGGGAGTTAAATTTGTTTGCTCTAATTTATTGAGAGTATATATTTGTTACTGCTGTCAGAATTAGTTGTAAACTGATCTCCTAACACCGCTATAAGAACAAACTAGTCCGGATCACTGCTAGAAAGCAAGTGATTCTGTAAATGTTTATAGAAAAAAATGTAGCAGATGTCGTTAGATTCTTCCGTAAACCTACAATCCAACTTAGCTGATGAATGAAGCAAACGCTATTCTTTTGATCTTTCCTAAACTGTTTGAAATGTAATTATTGAATGAAGCTGTCCAGGTACAAATACAAACAGATATTCTAGAAACTGGGAAAACAGGTTTAAAAGATGTCAGTATCAAATAGCAAGAAATACCAAAGCAATGGCAATTCATGCCGTAAAATCCGCCCAATTAGTGGCGGGACCCCACTAAAATATGTCTGGGTGATGTTTGGTTCATGATTAAGCTTTGGGATAACGACCTTCCCTAGTTGCGTTTTCTTGAGAGAAAGCACTTGCTAATTGTTTGAAAATAAGGGTCGGAAGGCATATAATTCTTAGTGAAGTGGGCCGTCCCCATTTTGGAATCCTACCTAGCTGGATTCATTTAACAACCCTATGAAACGACTTGATGGTCCTTGTTAGGTGGAAAGTCGAAGATTCCAGGTCCCTTGTCTCTACCATGCGTGGGGAACATACAGGAGTGAATAATTTGCTTCTCTGGTTGGCAGGAGTATGACGTTTTTGAAGCCGGAGGTGCTCTGTTTCTATTGAAAGTTGAAGCACGGTGCTGATTTCAGATGGAAAACGCACTTTTCTAGTGCTATTATTGTTTCAGAATGGACATTCGTGAAATATGATCAATTAAGAACTGATTTATGGATAGGTTAAACATGGGAGTTCTGCATCGGTGTTTTGCAGAACTGCCTTCAAGCTTCTCTATATAAATCCTATTTCCCAAAGGCTGAGTATGCAAATACTTCTCTTTTTTGCATATACTCACGCATATCATTTTTATTATTTATGTATATAATCAAATATGCAGACCATGTGATGCAGTAAATGACAGATGCTATTGCTCTGGCATATTCGGGTATGAATGCAAAATAAACTTGAAAAGCTATTTGTTGATGTAGAATTGTAGACAAATTTGAGTAGTTAAATTACCTCCATTTAACCATAAAACGAGAGGCTTTTTTGAAGAATTTTCTGGTGACTCCACAAAAAAATAGAATAACGTTCGATCGGCTATGGGGTCCACTGTTACATAGCCTGCATACTGGTTAAAATCCACTCCTTCAGGCTGTCCCGGCAGTGCTTTGATCTTGTCACCTTGCATCAACCCTTTTTGAGATCCTACATACACTGGAGAGTTCTGGCTATCTTCTTGATCATCTAGTTGAGCCCATGATTCAGGGTGAGGAGGGTTTGAGGATTTGCGAGATTCGATCAACCTGTTGAGATTGTCAATCTGGTTTCCCTTGCATGAAATGAGGAAACCTGGAAAGTAGCCAGGCAATAGTAGCAGCAACCATATGATAATAACTTTCATTGCTGCTAATTTAATTCAGTGCTGAGTTGGCGGCCTCAGGACCCAAGAGCTTATGGAAACTTAACTTCTAGTAGTATATATATATTTGCAATGCAAGGCAATGCTAATGCTACTATAAACAGCCGAAAGACGACAAGAAACCAGGATATTTTCCGATGTTCCTCTCTTCCATTTTGTAGCCAAGTTACAGCTTGGCTTGTGGTACTTGCTTAGAACTCTTCTGGGGCCGGCTTGATATATATTCCCATTAGTGTTTACGGATGAAAGTTGACTCACTTTGGAAATTGGAGATATCCTCAATCTTTTTACCTCCTGTACTGCAGTTACTTTACCTCATAGAATGACTGCAATTTGAACAGGCGATGACAGCGTTTTTCAACTCCAATACGACCCCTGTAATTGCTGAATGCATGATTGGTCCAAACTGTGAGTGCGTTCTAAAGCTTTATGAATATGACTACTTCTCAACACTCCGTTTTCCTGACTTTAGTACTTTTCACATGGGATCCAGTCATTATCTTTTTTTTTTTTCTTTTTTCTGTATTTGAATCTTCTTCGGTAAATAATAACAGTTTTTTATTAAGCTATTCTTCAATTTTTTTCCAATACAAAATTATCCATCATGGCTCGTCATTATAGAGCTGCATCAAAGAAACAACTACAATTTTCAGAACCAACCAAAGTGTATTGAAGAACAAATCAAAACAACAAATGCCTTGGCAAGATACGCTATTAAGCCGATATAATTTCATAAATATAGCAATATATATATATATATATATATATATATATGGCAACAGAGATGCTTGAATTTGACTCAAGATTTTTGTTCAGAATTATCGTTTCCTTGTTTACAAAGTTAACGGTACATTTCCGGCTATGTAGCAATTAGAAAATACTACTACATTTATCATTATCTCAATGGTCGAACCCTCTAGCAGATGGTGGAAGCTTTCCGTCAAAGAAGGATGTGAAGAGCAGCAGGGCCCGAGCTGGCTGGTAACTGGGTACAAAATGTCCAGCTCCTCTTACGGTTACAAATGTCAAGTTTTGATATCCGATAGCATACCCTCCAACCTTAAAAAAAAACCAAGGTAATTAGCTTGATCAACATTGATTAATTGTCTTTTTTTTCTATAAAAAGGATTATAGGTACTAAAATTTGAATTTCAAACTTGTCCGATGCCACTGATGACACCTTTGAATAGTTGCATAAAAAATTAAGTTCCAAGTTCATTGTCTAACAGCAATAACTAAGATTAGGGAAATTCTGTCCAAACTATTACCTCCCCTTGGGTATACCAAGGGTACCAGGCAGTCTTAATGAGCAGCCCCAGTTTGTTTATGGCATATCTGCTACATGTTACAGGCAAGGCAACATCCGTGTCACCACTGAAATAATGTCGTTAAACATTATTAAAAAGCATTTAATTTTGATTCTTGTTTGTCTAAGTGGGCTATTAATATTTCTCCAAGGTCATGAAATTGGACTTAAGTGTGAAAGGTTGATTGAGATTGAGCTTCTTTTCAAATGACTAACCTGTAGATCCAAACGCGAACTCCGCTTTCCATTACTTCCTTAATGATTGGTAACACTGTTAATGGTTTGTCTTTCCAGTGTCGATTTACTTCTCCACTGTTTTCAGAAATATTTATCAGGAAACGACCAGAAGTAACAATCAACATAAAATGAAATAGGGGACAGTTAAATTATACTGATAGAAACTACAAGAACCAAACCCACGCAAACTCCCCAAGAAGGAAATATTGACAGGGATATTGGTCAGTGCCTGCAGGATTGCCATGGATAAGGAAGAGCAGTAACATTTGCATGAAGTGCTTTTTGAACTTCTGGATTGTTCAAGTAGGAATGGACATAATGTTCCGAGCAGGGATCGAAAGCAGAAACCTGTTTTGTAGTTCTCGGCTAGCAGAAGTCAAAGTACCAGGAACAATGTATTCAGCAGCTTAGCTTATGTATTTGTACAAAAAGAGAACTTTATTTTACTCACAGAGTTGGAAGTTGAGGTCCTTGAGGAGGAACTGCACAAGGAGGCATAGATGTCATAGGCATATATGTTGCCAGCAGCATCATTTGCTTTGTCCACAAATCCCAAGCAAACTTTGGATGATACATTTAGTGTAGAATAATCACAGTTCGACACAAGTCCATTGTATATTTCATCAGACATAAGTGCATGCGTCCAATAGAAGTCCACTGCTCCTTTCATAGTTGTTTCAAAATCAATATAAGCATTACCTATCTAATACATCAAAAACGCCACCTGTTAAAACTTAAAAGTTTAAAAGTCACGTAAAAACATGTTGCTAAAAGCATATAAATATTCTTAGAAACTTACTGCAATGCCTTTTAGATTGATTGAAGTTTGATTGGTGTAAATGTTGTTTTGAAGGATAGTCTGAGCAAGCTGGGGTACATAGTGGCCCGCATAGCTCTCTCCTGTAATGAAAAATTCCCTGGTTTTGTACTCAGGAAATCTTTCCAGCCAATTAACAAGAAAGGCATAGGAATCTTGGGCAGTTCTTATATCTCCACTTAACTTATAGTCATTGGTTCTATTCGAGTAAGAGAATCCAACACCGGCAGGAGATTCTAAAAAGATGATGCTGGCATCTGAAATAACACAGAAATATTACCCTATTAAATGATCATGTAGGGTTAATTTTCAAGGAAACCGTGATAATTTGATCAGGAAGTAATAGAAATTTGGCAATTTGGAACAACTCACCCTTATTCCATGCGTATTTATTTCGATGCAAGGCTTTACCATCTTTTTTTACTCTAAATGGGCCAAGTCCATCATAGCTCCATTTCCAATAGAAGAGCAACCAGGCCCTGCCCACCAAAATAGCTTCTATAAATGATAAAGCTACATCCATGCGGGTAACAGAATTGTTGTACCGTTGTTAATAATACTAATACTGACAAGCCCAACCATTAAGCAGCCCAAGAAAAGCCCATTCATGAATAATAAAACAAACCCAATTTCCGCATACGCAAAAGCGCTGACCAGTCCATTACTCGGATCCATCACAGCAGTTTGGTTCGGTGTGTGAAAGGGAGATCAATCCTTCCAACAAACAAAAAAATTGAAAGGAAGATTGATTCAATTCAAACTTTGGTTACCATAGTGAGATTACTTGACCTTCAGGCTAAAACTTTTGCCTGTCTCTCGTGAATAAGTTCTATACAATTGCTAAAACAGAAATAGAGATGATGATAGTGGTGAGTGTTTCTTTTGTTTATTGGGCTACGTAGAATGGGCAAAGGACCTCAAAATTACCAGAACGAAGGGATAGCAACAAAGAGTAATAACGTTGATTATGAGCTTGATTTGACGTACATTTTGATCCAATAACATATCATTATGGCCGGACCAAGTCCAACAATTTGGTTACTTTCTCCCAGCTGGTAGGCTTGCAATTTCCAGTTTTTAATTTCTTGTGAAACATAGTGAAGTTCATTCTAGACTTAAGAGTAGAAAAATAATGAGCATGGAATATAAGCATTACCTCCATTAAGCCATAAAACCAGAGGCTTAGTAGAAGAACTGTGAGATGACTCCACGAAATAATAAAACAGTGCTCTGCCTGCCTCAGGATCAACGGTCACATAACCTGAATACTGATCAAAATTCACCCCACCAGGTTGTCCAGGTAAACTGCCAACTTTATCAACCTCTCTTAGGCCTTCTTGAGGGCCTACATAAACAGGTGAATGCCCTGCATGTGTTTCCAAGCTGAACGTAGTTGCCCATGTTGATACATCAGATAATATCAGCTCTGATAATTCCAGCCTTAAGAGTTTAATTGAATTGAAGTCCCTGCCTTCATAGCACTGAGTGAATCCTACCAGGCACAAGAGAGACACCCAAATGATTAACACAGCGTTTCCCATTGTTAGCTGACTTGATTCACTTGAATAAAGGGTCCTGATAATAGTGTTAATTTCAAGGTGATAGGAATACGATCAACTATAATTGACTCTGAAGTCTTTGAAAAAAGAAAGCGGTAAGATTGGCTTATTATGATTTTTTTTTTTCGTTTCATCTTTGACTTGTAATCATATTATAGTCTTGTTTAATGGATTTTGGCACCAATGTATCTACATTGTGATCTGTATCAATCAATTTGAAGCTGAGTCCTGCTGTAGAACACTTCTAGTCGGGGCAGAAAGTAGTTTAAAAATATAGAGCATTGAAACCAGCATCCACTTGGGATGGTATGAATCATGATAAATTACCTTTAAAAGTTAATATATAAAAAAAAATCATTCAAAGACGTGGGCGGGGATAGCTCAGTTGGGAGAGCGTCAGACTGAAGATCTGAAGGTCGCGTGTTCGATCCACGCTCACCGCATCAGACTTTTTGCGTCTGATTTCGTCACTGTTTTGTCCAAAGGAAGGTTAGACAGGCTGTTGATGGGCTGGTGTCCATTCTCAAGTCTTCGTCGCAATCCTTGAAGATTAAAGGTACACGTTTCAACATCACCTGCCACTGAAAGAGAGAATACATGGGCTGGAATTTTCTCAAACAACCAAAGTTTAAAAGTTTTGGCAGTTCTCGACTTAACAAAGATACTTAGCCTTTGAACTTTCAACATTTCCCCTCGATAATTTTGCATTTTATGCTACAATTAGAACCTTTTCATTGTTGTAGTTTGCTTCATTAATGGAAACAGCAATCAATTCATAACAAACTAGCCTAAAACGTGCTGGCCTCTTTTGTTTTCAATAGAAATATTAGATCTAACTTTTCTCTCATTGGACATAACGGGTAAAACAAGGTTGATTCAAGGAAAAAGGACTTGTTTCTTGTGAAATGTAATGTCTAAGACTGGAAAATGAATCCGGATGTTATGTAGGAGTCAAGGAGAGAGCAATATCTAGAATGAAGCTCAAGTCAAATAGATTTGGGGGCTGATTCCTCTTGAAGAGCTGACAAATCACAAAACTAAAAACGAGATACAAGCTGTCGAGGACTGGTTATGTACGGTATAGCCAGCTTTCTGATTGTTTTATCTGGAACCCGTCTTTTTCCTTGGCTTCTTGAGACTGGCCTGGTGGAAAACTAGTTCAACCAGAACTAGCAAAATTCACCTTAATTTCCCCATTGAGTCTCCTGGGCTTATCTTTTTGCTGGATTCACACCACATTCATCTATGTTAATTTGTTTAAACAAATGCGCGTGTAGCATGGATATTATAGCGATAGATTTCTCGCCTTTTGATCAGAAGACAAAGCCTCTAAGGAAGATACTGGTCAGATGGGCCAGCTGGTTAGCTACTTTGCCTTTCTAATGTTTGGCTAAGGATAGGACACAAGTGATTGTTTCACCAGAGTGAAAAATCATTCCAGCTCCTTTGCTCTGATTGAACAATGAATTACTTTTACATCAAAACATCTCCATAATTCAATAATAAAGATTTGCGAATGTCTCTTCAAAGTGACTATGTAAAAGTAATCATACTTTAGCTTTGGAGTCCCAAGCCAAAGTGGTTTTGATTCATGGCACTTATTAAAGAGATACCTTTTAGCATGTAGCTGCTTTTGCCCTTTTATCAGGATCAGTACTACTGCATAAAATTAACTGCGTCTCCATTTTCTATCTTGGCCTGACTCTTCCACTTAAAAGTTATACTCCGGAAACCCATGGATGAACTCTCCAGCTTCCATAGATAGTAGGACCACCACTGCAATTCACATTGACCCAAATTGAATTATTATTCTTTAATTTCAATCATCAATCATTCGTGTAGGGACTTCATTCAATTATATTCTCACGCAAAGGTTGAATTTCTGATCTCGAGGGCTTGTCAGTGCGATGATAGTTGTTTTATTGGAGTTAGTGATGCTGCTTAACTGACAAAACCTTATAAATTGTCTAATGATGCAAATTATGAGCATAGGTTGAAGGAAATTAAGAGGGAAGAAAAAAGATGTCAAAGAAAAGAAATACGACAGCTTTAGTGAAAGAGGTACAATGATTTTTTTTTTTTTTTGGTAAGAGGTACAATGATTTTAGAGGCATGACAATGTTTGCCCATTTCATCATCCCAAAAAAAGTGTCCACACTGAAAAGCTTTAGAGCCATATAAATTGTGAAAATTTTTTAGGAGAAGATATGTTATATATAGGTATACGTGCTTCGTGGGGTGTGGTCCTTATGAATCCGGACCACCATTTCGTCCCCCTCTTCTGTAACTTACCAGCCAAAGCCCTACTCATCCAGACCAGACCAATGGAAAATTTGAGGGGTGGAAATTAAACTGACGGGATTCTGGTGGAGAGTGACATTATTAATTTACCTATTATTGAGTCCCCTTGTCTCTTAATAGACCTACTTATATTTCTTTTTTGGGATACAACAGGGACCTACTTATATATATATATATATTATAACAGAGATTATAATTTGATAATAGAAAAGAAAGTTATAAATATTAAAATTTGAATTTGCATGTCATTTCTTCAAATTAATTGTATAAAAACATTGAAATAAGATTCGAATTTGACTTATCTACATTTCATTTAACACATTTATTAGAAGTTCTTCAAGCTTTTATCTAATCCTATCCTTTTCCCGTATCAAATTGATGAGCAAAAATGTTAATTAGCATAGTTGATAAAATCTTTTAATGCCGAGTCAAGAATTCTATTTATCCTAGTTCAACTCAAACCAGTGAATTTTGAAAGGAAAAAGAAAAAAGAGCCATCTAATAATTGCTAAATCATGACTTGCCAACTAATTACTAGAATTGGCTCAAACCAGTTGTCCTGATTTTAACAGAATCCAATTCGTCCAAGGCTTATTGATCGAGGAAATGAAAATATGAACATAGAAACAAGATGCAGGTATACTTTGGTAGGTCCTAATGTCTTTGTTTTATAATGAAAAATTTTAATGTTTGGTGACGGATTCATCCAAAGATGTTGAAGAAAGATCCCTTTCTAGTGTCCACCATGGCCCATTTAGGGATGGAAAATCGTCCCCAATCACTCTCGTACCATCATGGGCGGTGTTCACCGTTCACCTGCAGTGCAAACTGTTAGGCATTGTCTGGGAATACACTACTTACACCTTTTTTTCCTTACAACTTTCAGGTTGCTAAGACTACAGAAATTAACTGATGATTCAGTTTCAGAGCCAGCTGACACGCTAGCTCTCTTATACATTTCAAAAATTTCAAGCCAAGGAAACTTGGATTCCCCTGATGAATGCTTCAATGCTGACACCAATATTCTCCATACCTGATCAAGAGATTTTGCATGTGATGATTCATAAGGATTTGGAGACAGAATTAAAGGAGGATTGGAGAAATCTATATGATTAATTTCTGCCCCTTTATTGCCTTCATGCAACGGAAGAGAAACACATTAATAATTGTGATTAATAGAAAAGAAATTTGTATAGAGTTACTTGTCGTGTTACTCTGACAGTGATTTCAGTGAGTTTATGGAGGTTATGATGCAAACCACAGTACAATCAATCGTTAAACCGATAGCATAATCAATGTTAAATCAGAAATTTCCATTTGATTAGCTTTCTTGAGATTGACATCTCATCAACTTAGGGAGAGTGGTTAGCCCAGCTGATCCAGATGCCCTAGCTGATAACTACAAGCAATTTTGTCCCAATATCCCTGGCGTCCAACAATTTATTTTTCTTCCCATTTTGGTTATTCTTAAACCATGTTCATCATATTAAGATGCCTGTTCTAGATCGACAAAGAAATGAAGGAGAGCGGTTCTTAAATCTATAAACGTTCACATTTCATTTTTTATAATTCCATGAAAGAACTCAGCTACTAAATTTCTTTGTTTAGTAACTTGAGTCCAAAATAAAAGCTAGAAAACCCAAATTCTCCATTATTATTTCTGGGTGAACTTCAAAAAAAAAAAAAGAGTAAGTTTTATCAACAAAAAGGATAGTAATTATTATATGATTTGGTACAGTATGGACAAGTGATAGTAATTATTATATGATTTGGTTCATAATTATAAGTTTTATCAACAAAAAAGATAAGGTTGCTACCAAACTAGAATTAAAATATTATATATAATTAACCAAAGAATTAGTTAGTTAATACTTAGTGCCATTATTTTGATGTCTTATTAGACATTACCATACATGGAGATATTTTGAACATTATATTATAATTTTTCAACTAATCAAGTGATTAGTCATTTGTTACTCAAAATTTTACAATAATTACACTTAAAAATTTTGGGAAAACATATTGTTTGCAATAATTGTCCAAGCCCAATTGGCTTATTAATAATTGATAATAATTATGATTTTATGATTGGATGCAATTAAACTTTAACCACCATCAATCGAATTCAAATACAAATTTTAATAAATTTCATTTAATATAAAATTTTCATTAAAAATTTTATTATTATTATAATAATTAATTTCATTGATATCATTATTTTTAATCTCACTGAAATTAATTTCATCACTCATTTAAATAAACTCTTAATCAATTAATAATAATAAAACCCTTTTGAATGCTTTTTCTATTTTTATTTTTGAGTTCAAACCCAAAATTTTTAAATTTGTAATTGATTTGAACATTATTGAGCTAAATGTGAATGCATAATTAAAAATGTTAAAAACGGCTGAATTCGCTGGACAGCTAATATATACTGAATTGAACATTAAATTAAATGTAAACATATGTTGGTGCTTTGACAGTCGACATCATGGTTATGGGTGGTGCGTCTATTTCATATATAACCCAAAATTCAAAGAACTTTCCTTTTTTTCATTCCAAATCTTCTGCCACCTTTCACCATAATAGCTTAGCTTTTCCCAGCTTCGCAACAATTCCATGTGTACGCATCATTGAATAAAGATTGATAACACCAAATAATCAACGAATGTTTATTTCAATTGAAAATGGATTAGAATTTAAATTTTAAAGATAAAAAAATGGGCCTATTAAAATTTAAAAAATATCCTTTTAAATTCAATCTTTTTATTTATAACTTTTGTCGTTGCGAGGTATTGATCAATTTATTGAATTGAAATTTCAGTCCAAATAACGGAATCTCTTACCTTATAATATTGTAGCTATGGGTATAATCAAATCAATCCAAATTAATATAGTGAAAACTTTAAATTTAAGCTAGACTCAGAATTTATTATTTAAAATTTAATTTAAATTTAATCAAATTTTAAATTTAAATTCGACTCGAAATAAAACTTAATCGAACTTTATATTTTAAATTTAAATTCATCTCGAAATAAAAGTTAAATTATTTGAACACACTCAATTAAATTCATTTATAAAATAAACATACAAGCTTTATTCTTATATTTGATTTTAAGTTCAATTATTTATAAAAAAGTTTGAGCTCGAATTTATATATATATATATATAATAATTTTTTAATTAAAATATTAAAAATATTTATTAAAATATAAAAATTTAATTAAACTCATAAATTACTTGAATTAGACATTAAAAAATTTGAATTTGACTCATTCAATTAATCAAATTATTCAAATTTAACTTAATAATAATCAATTTAATTTAAATTTTATTCGTATTAAATTAAATAATTTATACATATTAATGTATCATTTATACGATTAAATGTAGTAATATATTGAAAAGGGTTAATAATTGTTAAAAAAAAAAGGGCTATAGATTTTTAAGAAAAGGGTGAGACTTTGTAGGAGGAAAACTTAACGAATACGCCAGCCAAGCATTTGCACGACATGTGGGGTTTTAATTGATGAAAAAGAAAATTTTTTTCTGTTTTAGTTTTGTCCTCAAGGATATTGCTTAGGAAAATGTTAAAAATTGAAAATTGTTTTTTCTTTTTTTAATTCAAACCTTGTCTTTATAATTTTTTTTTTCATAAAAAGAAAAGGCGGTGGATAAGAGTTTTAAAGGAAAATAAAATTGAAATTTGGAAATACGATTTTTTTCAAGTTTCTAAACACAATGACTCTAATTTTAGCAAAATCAAATTCTAATTAATTAATAAACATATTTTATTTAAATATTTTAAAAATAAAAAGTGGGTTAAACAAATTTGTGGCGAAACAAATGCAATTTTGAAAGTTTAGACAAAGAATAAAATGGTAAACAATTTTTTTCTCAGAGATTTTTTTTTATTTAGATTATTTAATTAGAGAACATAAAAAGTACTATGAGAAGGTTCAATGCTTATGCTTTAAACAAAGAATTTAAATTGATATTTCAAGTAAATTTACATGTATTTCCTTAAAAAAAATTGGTCAAAGGTCTAAATTGAAAGTGTTAATACTCCTTTATTAATTTCTTTTACCAACAATATTGGTTCACTCGTTATCTTCAATTGATTTTTGTTTTAAATTCACAATTAATAATTGAAATCCATAACTATAAAAGTTATTATGTATAATATTAATAAAAAAATAAAAAATCAACAATCGTAATCTATTGATAGAATGTTAAATTTTTATTGTTCAAATTTTAACAAATTTAAATATCTAAAAAAAGAGAGTACAACAAAAATAAGAAGGGAATTATTTTCTTCCCAAATTGATTTAGATTTGCAAAAGAAGTTAGTAAAAAATAAATAAGCAATAACAAAGGGAAAGAGAAGTGAAGATATTAAAAAAGCATATACTATCCAGGGAACCAAAAAATGATTCGTTGGCAAACATGTGATCACTGATTCATGCAGCTTCTGCCTTCAAAAGCAGCCCATTACTTTTCAAACTATTAATCACAAAACCTCACAAGCGCCATTTTTGGCCATTTAATATTAAACCCTTTCCTGAAAAAAATGAGAAAGAAAGAAGAAAAGAAATCTCTTTCCCACGGAGATGGAGTCAACCCCAAAAAGCCAGCAACCCATCATCGTATCATCACCATTTTTTATAATAACCAAACACTCCCTCTCTTTGTAGGAAACTGAAACAAGAAAATCATGCAGTTTCTGGAATCTTGAAAGAAGAAAAAAAAAAAAAAACTTAAGGGTGTAAAAGGGCAGTGAAGTATGTATGAGTATTTAGTAGTAGTTAGTAAGTGGAAAAAGGGGAGACGCACGTTGATTCATGACGACGCATGAAAAAGTGTGTTTCCTTGAGGAGTTTATGTACGGCTCTATCTTGTTACCAAGATGTGCATTTTTATCCTCTTCTTCCACTTCACCTTTCACTATGTCTTTTTCTTTGCTTTAAATAAATACATAATCTTCCAAACAAGGCACTGCTGCAAACCTTGTGACCGACTTCCTTGTTCTTGTTAGAATTGGTGTTGGTGTTTACTTCTTCCAATGATGTTAAAATTTGAAAGCTTTGTCATTTAGTCTTTACTTGCTTGGAGGGAGGCATTGAAGTATGTCGGTTTTGTAATGGAAAGTTTAACTTTTTTTTGTTAAGGGTTTCAATCTGATCACTCTCTGTTTTTCTTGGACTTTTTTTTTTATTGCATTCAACTTATTGTTATTGTTGTTTATCTGATCTTTGTTGATGCTTTTGAATTGTGTTTTTGCAGATTTGGTAGTCGGGTATTAAAAAGATGAATACCAGAGTCAGAACGTCTCTACAGTCTAGGAAAGTTCCAGGGAAGCATGTAAAAGTAATCACTACTCACAGCCATCAAGAACTTAAAACTGGTTATTTTTTAAAAACAGTTTGTGCTGTAGATAGGAATGTAATTATCCCTTATTTATGTTCAATTTCGATAAGATGCTCTCCAGGGGCTGAAAACTCCTAGAAAATTTTGAAAAGTAGGCACCTTTGATTGGAATCCAAGGTGCGGTTTTTTCATTTTAAATCTTAAATGAAAGAAGACTTCTACACTATTCTCTGGGGTTGTGAAATTCCCTGCTGCCACAAGAAATTTTCAAGGCAATTCTGAGTTGGCTTTATTAATCAGTAGGCAATGATGCTGTTCTAGTTTTTCAGCGGTTCTTTGATTCTTCTGGTTTCTCATACTTATATGCCGAGTAAAGCTTACTGTTTGTAACTCTTTTCTCTTTGAAGGAGAAGGCTGAAATGCAGGGGACCAAGCCAACAGTCGCAACAAAGGTAATGAAAAATCGACCAGCCTCAAGCGAAGAGAGAAAAATGGCCCTACTGCAAGATGTATAGACTTCTTCTCGCAAACTGAGTTACAAGTTTTTGGATTTCTTCCAACAATTTACTGTAATTACTGATTGTGTTGAAATTCCAATATTTGTCAGGTTGATAAACTGAAGAAGAAGCTTAGACGGGAAGAGAACATTCATAGAGCTCTGGAGAGAGCTTTTAACAGACCTTTGGGAGCTTTACCTCGTCTTCCTCCATATCTCCCTCCTTCTGTTAGTAATTCACCATCTCATTGACTTCTCACTTTGGGTTTTTTTTTTTTTTTCTTTCTTCTAAGTTTGGAAGAAACGATCATTAGATTAAAGGATCTTACATTGACCTTTTCCAAACAGGAATTCTAATGTTGGATTCTGATTTTGTAGACATTGGAGCTTTTAGCAGAAGTGGCAGTATTGGAAGAGGAGGTTGTACGGCTCGAAGAGCAGGTCGTGCACTTTAGACAGGACTTGTATCAAGAAGCTGTCTATATATCATCGTCAAAAAGGAACATGGAGAATTCAGCTGGTTTGAGTGAGCCTTGCCCAGATAATAGTACTAAACCTCAGCAACCTAAAATGTTAACTCGAAATACATCCATGGCAAGGCATTTTCTATCCTTTTCAGGTATACAACTATTGAATTGGTATTGAAGTGGAAGTAGGCCGTAAAACTTTACTCGTGATTGTTCTTTCAGATGATAGGAGAGGAAAAGAGAACCAGTCTTGTACTAATTCCACAAAGAGCAATAATGGATCCATGATATATAAAAGCCAATCAGTAAGAACACCTGTGAAGAGACCTCTGATTGATTCAAAGCCAGCAGAGAAACGTTTAGATCCTCAAAAGTTGCAGGCATGAACCAGTATCATTTCCATCAAGTTATAGTAGACTTATTTGCAGTTATATGAGGTTACTTGTTTTAAATGTTCAGCTAGAAAGCAGAGTGAGAGAAGAAGATAATGCAGAAGAAAGAAGTACTAGCTTTCCAGATGAGAGACCGTTGGGAGATGATGCCCCAAATCAAGTTTCTGAGGAACTTGTAAAATGCTTGTCCAGCATTTTCTTAAGAATGAGCTCAACAAAGAGAAAGTCTACTGCAGAAAATTTTCCTTCATTATCAATGTTAGGGTCCCAAGAAAGCAGTGAAGTAACAGAATTCCGGGATCCTTATGGTATTAGTTCAAATTATGGAAGGAGGGATATTGGCCAATATAAGCATTTGTTTTCAATTGATGCTTCCTCAATCAATCCAAATCGAACATCAAATTCTTTATTTCTGCTGCGCAGGTTGAAGTAAGTCATCTGTTATTAGATTAGTTTCTTGTTTGTTTGATATATTTTAGTGGCAGTCAAAATTGTGATGGTTTTATATGTTGCATTCTCAGACTCCTCCTTGCGACACTTGCCTCTTCCAACTTTCAGAACCTTAACAATCACGAAAAGCTCGCATTCTGGATAAATATCTACAACTCATGTATGATGAATGTACGTAAAGGATGTCTGTGAATATAAATTGAAAAGATTAAGGCTAGTATTACATATTAACTGTTGGCCTAGTATGTGTCAACATGGAAACTAATTATTTCATACTAGTTTCTGTGACCTGAATTTCTGAAAGTTTAAACCGTGGGCTCCCAACCCCACATTCTCTTATAATGTTACTCTTATCTTTTAATGCATTTAGTTTCTGTTGTCATACTGGGTTTTCTGTAGTAGATGGAATCATTTATTACATGATGTTGATTCAGGCATTCTTAGAACATGGAGTGCCAAAGAGTCCGGAGATGGTTGTGGAATTGATGAGAAAGGTATGGATGACCCAGGACACATGGTTTTGTTAGAATATTGTTACATTTCAGTTGTTCTTAGGATAGTTTCCTGTTTCATTTTCATCCCAGTTGGCCTAACTGCACTTCTATAAGATGGATAATGTCTCCCAGAAAGTCAGTTTGCCTGTGCATCAACTTATTATAGTGCATGTAGTCAGTAGTTTTATACAAATTTCTTTATGAAACAGGCAACCATAAATGTTGGGGGACGCTTGCTAAATGGAATAACTATTGAACACTTCATTCTCAGATTGCCTTACCACTCAAAATTTGTAAGTGGTACCTAATTTTAATCTTTTTTTACAAATTTAATTCAGCTTGATAATCAAGTCTTTTTCCTTGTCATATTTCTTATACTTTTGAATTCTGATCAGACCATTTCCAAGGGTGCCAAGAATGATGAAATGACTGCCAGGAGCATTTTTGGATTGGAACTATCTGAACCATTGGTAACATTTGCCCTCTCATGTGGAAGCTGGTCCTCTCCTGCTGTAAGTTTGTAACTTTGTAATTGGTAAAATACAGGATTGATTATTCCCAGGCACTGGATGTTGTTTAATTTTGCTGTTTTCTTCTTTCTCAACTTTTGGAAAATGTATATTGCCTTGCACTTACTAACATCACATAATACTGGTTATTGATTTATCATTTCTGTCAAATGAAGGTGCGAGTATATACTGCTTCTCAAGTTGAGAACGAATTGGAGGTGGCAAAGAAAGAGTACTTACAGGCTGCAGTTGGAATTTCGTCAACCAAGTTTGCAATCCCTAAGCTGTTGGACTGGTACTTGCTTGACTTTGCGAAGGACTTCGATTTGTTGCTTGATTGGATTTGCCTTCAATTACCTAGTGAACTAGGAAAAGAAGCAATTAAGTATCTTGAAAGAGCCAAAAGCGAGTCTCTTCTACAGTTTGTTCAAATTATGCCGTATGAATTCAGCTTTAGGTACCTTTTATGCACATAATAAATTAGGTTGGCTTCACCTAAAATTTTGTTTACATGGTTCTAAGGGCGTTGGAGTACTGCTTTTCTACACAATCTCAGATTTGATACTACAAAACTTAGTAGTGAGAGGAATGTTTATCAGGGATTTCTGCATGTAATTAATAAGAACGTTTTGGGAGAAGCTATACAAAAAAGTGATTCTTTTTCCAATTTGTGCCTACACAATCTATATTATTGATGCCTCAAACTATATCAGAGGATGATCTAGATTTCTCAATTGGATAATTGTCATGGATATTGTATTCCAGGTTTTCAGTTATCATCGTTGAAAAGAGAAGAACCATGAACTACTTGGGGATGATGTCCTTAATGTTCTTGAGAGGATTGCCAACTACTTGACAATGATAATTCATAAGAATCTGAAGTTTCATTCAAGAAAATTAGGTGTAAACATTGACAGCTTGATATTCTGTCTGGCATGTTAATACATTAGTGTGCATTAACGCCTCTTTAAAAGAGAACCAGAAATGGAAATCCAATTGAAATTACGAACTGATATCTGATGCAGGAATACCAAACCCTATCTCTTGTGGTCCATAGGAAGCAGGCCAGAGTTTTCCCAATCGCCTTAGATACGTGATCAATGTGCCGCATGTGAAGGAGCCATTTCTATGCTAGCTCCTGCTGTACCACTGATTACGACCAGTTGGGACAGCCATTGAATAGCAATACCAATTGAAGTTCTAACTCTAGCAGTCTAATATGAGTGCTTTACTACAAGTCCATCAAACCATGGTAATACATCAGCACTTAGTCATGCAATATTCAAACCAAACGATTCTGATTCTTCATTTTCTTGATATATCCATGTCGAATTCACATTAAACACATCAAAGTGGATATGGATGCAAGGGTATTACTATTCACACATTTTTAGTCTCCTTGTCTGATACATTCATATTGTTGAAAAGCAACCCAAGTTAACATAGATATATTTTAGTGCGAACGCATTAGACGACCCCTCAAACCTAGCTGAGGATTCAATTATCGAGGTTCGATAAACCAGTGCTGTCCAACTGTTGTGAAACTCTGGAAAGAAGGATTGTTGGAATCAAAACTTTGTCTTTGGCTCAATAAAATTTAATGCCAAAGTGCGGTCGTCCTGACTTTTGTGTCCCCCATATGATGCCATCATGCGGACTATATGCATCAGCTACACGGGAGCAAAAGGACGTTCGAGCTTTTGCAAAGTGATTGTCACAACTCACACCTTTGCCAAAGCTAGAGCGGTCAAGCCTATAATTGATATACACATGTAGCATCTGCTGTGATAAAAATGGAAAATGAACTGATATAAGCAATGCCATGCGTGCCAGGGAAATGGCCCTAAATTTATAAGGTCCTTTCTGAAAACGTACAAATATCAGATCTTTTTCCATGGTGCTGAACCACATACAAAAGCTAGATGATGAAGAGAAAAAGTTCGTGTTGGAGTTTGCGAGTATTGGATGGAAAGGAAGGCCCGTCACCTGTGAGTGTAGCTGTAGGTGAGAGGCTCACCTACCTGGTCCTGACCCTGCTATGAAAGAACTGTGATTTGCAGTTCCCAATTCATTGCAGCAAAATTTCAGGGGACAGGAACTTGTCAGCTTTGTTTTCCAGGGAAATACTATGAAAGTTGAATTTCGTCAAAAATGTCAACAAAGTAATGTCAGATATAAAAGTTTGAAGTTTCTTTATTTCAAGTTAATGTCTAAGAATATTTAATAAAGAAAAAGAAGCGAAGAAATTATTAAGAGTTCTAAAAACATGTTCATTTCAATCATCATTTGTTATCTTTACCATTTTCTCTTTTCAATCAATTATTTTTTACGAACACAACAGCACCCAGAGTTTTGGGTGGACCAACCCAAACGGTTTCTGGGCCATTCACCCAGCTCAATTTAAGCCATACGTCCCCCTAATTGACCCTGGTTGGGTTCAGTGTTTTCCTGAATTCGTTTAAATCGTCCTAAAAGCATAGGATGGAGCTGCCCGAACAGTTACTAGGCCACTCACCAGGCTACAAATGGGCCTATGTTTATCCAAAAGTCGATTAAATAACCCCGCAGGTTGGGTCCAGTCTTGACCTGAATTTGAGTTGGCTTTCTGTATTAATGTATTTTTCTCTTTCACTTCAGCATTAATTTTGTCCTGACACCCAAATTCGGTAACATATTTTCCTGACAGCTGTACGAATGGCAAAAGTGTCACTATTTCATAAAGAAATGGCTCTTTTCTTGTGTTAGGCATTCAAATAGAGTACTGAAAAAAAAAAAAAAAAGAATGTAATTTTTCTAGTAGAAAATCAAACAAGAAGGCGCAAGTTGACGTTTGATGGGCTAGTCTGTCAGCTTTCCATAGCTCAAGTAAAAGATTATTAGACAAAGGCGATAAGGCCTCTAAAAGCCGCACCAAACCAAGCACAGCCTGTCCCTAAATCATATAGAAATAAAATTGTTCTACCTGCAAAAGTCGAACCATCTAGAATTCCATGAATCAGTCAAAATAGTAATTTTTTACTAGATGTTTGTTGTTAGTTCCCTCTTATATATATTATGAAGGCTAAAGAATATTAAAAAACTTCTAAATTATAATTAAAAAATATTTAAATATTTATTATAATTAATCAGCCTTTTAAACATCTCTTTCCATTCAACTAAATCCTTAGTTAAATGAAAAAATTAACATCATTAAATTTTTTATTAATTAAAATAAAATTTTATGTGACATTAATAAAATAAATTAAAATTTATTAAATTTGAAAATCAAACAAAGTTTTTTTATTTTTTTATTTGTTTTTCTTTGGTTAAAGTTTATAATATGATGAAATTTTTATTCATTTAAAGGTTTAATTAAGTTAAAATAAAATATTAATAACTTAATTGATTGTAATAAAATATAATAAATCATGAAATAATTTACTAATTCAATTTAACGAGCATAAGTCATTTATAAATTTTTACTATAGTACTACCATTGTCCATTTTCAATAAAAAATTATATAGTGATCCATTATTTATAAATATAGATATTTGAAATTTTGATTCATCTAACACAATTTTAAATTATGATTAATTAATTATACTACAATCATTATAAGTGATATATTTTTAAAAGATTAAACTTCACAATAAAAAATTAGTTACGTATTCTCATAAGCTAATATGGTTCCTTAATCTCAAGGTTACGTGATTAACAATATGCTGCCAATCCACGAAAGCTGCAGCCAATAATCTCCAACATTTCAAATTATAAGTTTTGTTTTTTAACTTTATGGAAGTCATGTGCAAAATATGAATAAATGAGCTTGTAATAAATTTTTTATAATCTTTGTAAGGTCGCATCGCTTGCTCTCTCTATGTTATGGTAACAGGTAACCAAAAAGAAAAGTGCGGATCACCTAAACAATAGCTTTCATTTCATTGGTCCATGCCAGACTTGGATAATTAATCTAGGACCTGTCAAAATCTTTCAAGAACGATAAATTTTCAAGAAGTTCCAAAACACGTTTGAATTAAAACCGATATAAGAAAAGTAGATAACCTTTTTCTGTTCATTTGCTTGGATTTTGCCAACGCACCCATATATTTTGTAATCTATGACGCCATTACCAGTTGAAATCTGTGACTCAATTGACCCGAAGTTGCTGTTAAAATCATTTCAGGCTTGGACGCAAAGCCACAAATGATGGCATTCAGAAACTGTTTATCTGTTTAATATACGAATAAATGTCCATGTCAGCTTCTGCTTCACGGAAAATTCATACAAGGGTGGGCCACCATAACGCTCTTAAATATCGATCCTCTCACCTAAGAACAAAATATAAATAAACAAAGCTCCCCCATGTGCTTGAAGAATCGAGTAGAAAATCAGACATGAAAATCGTTTGGTATTAAAAGGCGGCTACTTGGTCAAAAAACTCCACCTTTCTGCAACCCCAGCTGTCTCGCCCTGCTCTTTCTCACTTCTTTCCAATCATTCTATGCTTTTATATTTTAGCTCTTAACCAAATTTTGGCTTGTTACTCTGCTGCATAATCAAATTAAGCTATCAATCGCAGAGGAAGCTGAGAGTTTACAACAAAAAATGGAAGTGGTGATACCAACTTCGCCAATTATGGATTTTGATTTCAACAGTGCTAGATCATCTCCACGCTCGAGTGCTCCTCCTACGCCTAGACGATTTGGTGAATGTTTCTTTAGTGCACCGACAAGTCCCAGGCGAATGTCTGAGTTTTATCGAGAATTTGATCGATTCTCCATGATGAATGATAGGCAAAGCAGCATAAGAAGCAGTTCTTTGGTGATTCCTTTTGATTGGGAAGAAAAGCCAGATACACCAAAGTCACCAAGGGCAACAATAAATCATGATGAGGAAAGAGACGATTTCGCTTTTGATTTTAGTGAGGCCTTGGAGAAAACATCCCTCTCAGCTGAAGAACTCTTTGATGGAGGGAAAATCAAGCCATTGAAACCTCCACCTCGGTTAAAGATTGATGAGTTCAACCAGAAAAGCCCGCTTTTATCATCACCAAGGTCGCCAAGATCACCATTATCCCAAGCCAAAGCGATTATCCGCGAAGCTTTTTCTCCAAGAAAGAAAAAGGACCAAGACACTTTTGCAACTGCGATTGAAACTGGTCGAAATCATACAGAACATGGAAGAGGTAGAGAAAGAGTTCAAGATTTCTCATCAAAGAACTCAAGCAGCCGTAGAGCAACAAGATCGCTTTCTACTTTTAGAGTCTCAGAGTATCCATGGGAGGAAGAAGAAGAGAAACAAGAGAAACATGAAACCACCAGCAGCAAGCAATCATCATTGAATTCAGAGCCTTCGTTTTCTTCTACTTCTTCGAAGGGTTCTTCCAGAAAATGGAGATTAAAAGATTTCCTGTTGTTTAGAAGCGCATCCGAGGGACGTGCAACAGATAAAGATCCATTGAGGAAGTACTCATCAGTTTTTTTCAAGACACCTGAAGATAACAAGAATTCGAGTACCCGATCCACCGACAGCTCTGGTTCAACTGGATCCAGAAGAAAAGTGTCGGCTCACGAGCTACATTACACAACGAACAAAGCAGTATCTGAGAACATGAAGAAGAAAACTTTTTTGCCATACAAACAAGGTATTTTGGGAAGATTAGCGTTCAATCCTGCAGTCCATGCTCTCGCCACAGGATTCGGAACACTAACACGTTAATAAAAGTGTTCCCATTAGTTAATAACTAAGTGATTTCATTTGTTTGTTGTAAAGATTATCCGTTTGATTGTTCCTGTAAAAGTGTAGAATTCATACGAGGAACCATAATCGTGATCAGTTGTCTGAAATCAGTGGAATTTTTCGTGTTGCATGCTAATCATAGTCTTTCTTTAATTTCACACGACCATTTAAATTATTCCATTATCATTAGGACAGATGTAACAAATGATATGAGAAAAAAAATTTTCTATTTAATGTATTATCTGTGAATAAATGTTGTATACGTTTTTAAAATTAAATATCCTTGCCAGGGGGAATCAGTCCTTAACCTGGAATGATTAGTCCCAACTTCCAAGAAAGTATTATCATATCAAATTGCTAATAAAATAATAATTTTAAACAAAATAAAAGACAGGCTAAAATGAGAAATCTTGACCTCTTTATAGTCCATGATATTCGTTGATAGTTTTTTGGGTACAAGTTGAGTTGGATGGTGATATGAAAATTGTGTTGGAATCTACAACGGCAAGGGACATTGGAATTAATCATTTGAGACGAGTTTTAGTAATTAAGTCGGTTAAGTGTTTAAGATTTTTTTTAAAAAAAATAAATAAGTTGTAGAGAATGTAGAGGAAGTTTAAAAGAGTAAGGTTCATACTACCATATTTAGATTTTTTTTTAATTTTTCATATATGAAATAATGGATGGTAATGTAACTAAATTATTAATAGTTAGTAGAAAATTTATATTGAGTTGGAGGAAAGATCGTGTGAGTGAACGTGGATTATTGCGTTTAATGATTTTATATTTAATAATTTTGAGTAAATTAAAAATCAATTAATTTGTTGTGAGATGATATTATAACGAAATGTTAATAGTAATAATTGAGTAAGTTTATCCGTAAGCGAAAAAATAAAAGTAAATAAATGTTGTGAATTTAGATATGAATTTTTTTTTGTGATAATATAATATTCAGATGTATACTGACTTAACAAATATAAAAATTGATCTTGTTAATTCAATAGATAAATTAAGTATAACAAATATTATATTTAACTAGAAATTAAAAGAGTGATTGTAGAAAACATAATTTAAATTGAAATTATGGCTCGCTCGCCTCGTTGACTTCAAGTCCTTTTGTAGTTTAATTTATACAAATAAAATACCTGGAAACAAATTAAACATAACAATATTATATTTAACTAGAAATTAAAAGATTGATTGTAGAACACACAATTTAAATTGAAATTATACCTGTCTCGCCTCGTTGACTTCAAGTCATTTTCTAGTTTAATTTATACCAATAAAATACCTGGAAACCTCATATCCTGACGATTGTCTCACTGGTTTCTTTGTTTAAGTTTTTCTGGTGCAGAGGCTTAAAAAATTAAAGAAAACAAGATAAATGAGTTAGCGGAAACAGACTTGATTTTTCCATTAAAATATAATATAGTTGGGTAGATTTTAAAAGTTGTAGAAATTGTCAAGTTCTAGAAGTGGGAAGCCATTAATTTATCTGCAAGGAATCAATGTTAGATATCCCAATGCCAACCCACAAATCCTGATAAGGAGAAAAACCCAGTCTTTCAACACATGCCTAAGCCTTAGTAGCCTTCCTGAAATAAAAGAGAGCCAAAATAATTTATGGAGAAAATTGGCCATTAGTTCCTTGCCTAATAAAAGATGGTGGCAAGGTACAATTGATCTGTCGCCTGATAAAACATTGTGGACAATGCATGATCGGTCGATTTGTAGAGAGAACTGAGAAGTGGGTCCTTAACATGATGCTTACAGTGTGAAAGCATTAGATATATAATACTTGTCGGTGGACTCATGTGACAGAAAAGTTTGGACGCAGTGGCTGGAGCAAGGGCAGTTGATTTAGTAGCCGCATCCATGTGCAGACAGGCGTAAGCCTAAGAGCCTCGAATCGATGGGATGACGGTGAGCCAGACAATCAGGTTTCTATATGAAATTGAAAACAAGTAACCATCTTATTATCAAACTATAATTCATACAGACAGTCAGGTTTACACAGATGAAAGGTTTTTACATGCTTTGGTAATAACTAACAAGAGCAGATGTCAAGCTTCCTGGAAACTAGAAAACTGTCATATGTTGCAAAAAATTCATGGCCAAATGAAATCCTTGAACCACAGGCTTCTCTTAGTGCTCGTCGAAGTTGTCTATTTTGATCGGTGTAATGGGATCTGCAACATTGAAGCGTCCAACCAACCGAGCAAAAAACACCATTTCTTGTTCTAGTGTGAATTTAATGTTCTCAGCCTGTTCATGTACAGTATCAGGGGATCATATTTCACTCGGACAAAATTTGAAATAAGACATGCAGGGGATCATATACCTTGCGAAAACCATGCTGTTCTCCCTCATACTCCACAAGAGCAACAGGCAAACCCTTTTCCTTCAATGCCTGGTAGATTTTACGAGCTTGATCAGGGGGTACAACCTGTGACATGTAAAAGATTATTCAAACTTCATCGGACGTGGAATCGGAACAAAATGCACAAGCTAAAAGTGCTAATGTGTGCTTGAATTGCATAGCAATTGTTGTAGACATAAATTTTTAAGCAATGAAGGCTATGTGTTACAAGCAAGTTACTGATCTCAGCTATTACTTGGTGTACTACTTAATTTCAAACTAAAATTCTTCTGTTCTATCAGAGAAACAAATAGTACAAACAAAAAGCATCAGATGCAGTCTTATGGCACAATCTGTAAGTGTTCAGAAATATCACTTAACCAGAAAAAAAAAACCTTGGATCTTCATTATTTTGTACCAAAAAGGAAGTTTTGAAGAAGAAATTTTATGTACCTTATCTTCCAGTCCCTGAAAGAGAATGATGGGGCAAGAAAATTTATCAACAAAATTGATAGGTGATCTCTCGAAGAAATCCTTCTCACTTCCTGCAATTAATCAGGGATAAGCTCACCACTAAATGGATAAAATTTAAAAACAAATAAGGCATTGGATTTTCTTTTCTAATTACCAACAAGGTTATCAAGATAATGGGATTCAAATTTGTGCATCTCAGCCCTCAACAAGCTTAAGTCAGCTATCTGTTCACAGAGAAACACACCATATAATAACTGTCAGTTTTCTATTTCACATTCATTAGATTTAAGGAAACATCTATGCATACAGCATCAATAAACAAAGGACACGGAAGACAGAAGGATATTTCACAGGATTCTTAATTATTTACAGGGGCATCCAGACTCAAGTTCCACTCAACTCCTTCAGTAATAATAAGGATCTAAAAAATCATATGTTTCATAGAATACCATTGCACACAGCAAATTTAAATTGAAAATAATTATGAAATGAAGTACTCACCCCATAGAGGGAAGCTCCAGACTTGAACGTATCTCTAAAAGCAAGAGCCGCTAAGGTTGTGTACCCACCAGCAGAGCCTCCTGTTATACAGAGTTGTTCAGCATCTGCCTTCCCATGCTCCACCTTGAGAAAAGAAACATGCATTATCATGACAGAATAGTGTTATAATATATCTTCATCCATTAGAAGTTTGGAAACAATTGAAAATAAGACAACAAATTACCAAAAATCTAGCACAGCTGCAACAGTCATCAACATCAACAATTCCCCAGCGCCCCAAAAGTCGCTCACGAAATTCTCTTCCATAACCTACAAAATTATCCCAAGTAAATCAATCTAAGTATCTCATCAAATCAGATATAAACAGAAATGAAATTTGTTCAAGATGTCGAAATAGTGCAGTGAGGATCAATGTGTGTCTGCATGTTTTGCTAAAGACAGGGAGAACTAACCGGTGCTTCCACCATAATTAACATCCACAAATGCCCAACCTCGACTAGTCCAGTACTGGATGCTAAGATTCAAAATTCCACGAGTTTCACTTGTAGGCCCTCCTGCCATATCTCGCATAAAATATATGTCATAATGCATTCAAATTCAGAAAGAATTTCTTAACACACTGGAGACAACACACATGGACAAGTTTTAAATAAAGTTAGACAATCCATAAAAGCTAAGTATCAAGACATTTAAACTAACTTTTGAGATAAGCAAATATCATACCATGACTTTCCAACAACAATGGAGGCTTTTCTTTCTGGCTAGCTTGGTAGAGGGGATTAGATGGTTGATAATAGTATGCACAGGCATTTTGGCCAGGAATCTCTGTTGGAAATTCAATTAACTCCGGCAGACTGAAGTAGGACTCATACTTTAAACTATCCAGTGAAGATGACCAAACAATCTTGAAATCTATTACATTTACTTTATGACCATCTAGAGTCACCTTGAAAGACAATGAAAGACAGTATATATGACAGTCATCAACGGTTTTAACAATATTATTAAAATATAGAAGAAGTGGACAACCTTACCTTAGCCAATGATGAAGGATGAACTGCAGAGGCTCCTTCAACATACAGATAATCATTCCATGAAGTCTGCAAAACAAACAACTTACGTCTTAAAAAACCATTATTATGATTTCCCATGCATGAATGATTTTAAAGGTAATATTAGGAAGCGTCTAGGATTTAGAAAGTACAATATTTTCTATATCTGTGAAAGGAATATCAAGCAGAGAAATTGAACCCTGAATATCATCTAGAATTCCAAGATATGACCTCCCATTTTGCCTGCATTCAAACACACAGAGTACTGATTAACAATAAACCAGATAACATGGTTTTCCAAAAACAAAACTTATCCATATATTGGAGTATGTTGGACAGTAATTTCTCAGAATTACTTGTAGCTGCAAGCAATTAAGGTTTTTTCTACATCGCTCCTGACAAACTCGTAAGAATTCATTCCAAAAATCCATAATGGTCTTGCAAACTCAGCATTCAAGGAATAAAGTGGAAGCACCTCATTGTTAGATTCAACCTGTTTCCAGAGATAATAAGAAGAGATGAATTCTGATGCAAACTGTAAATGATGTCATACCAGATAAGTGCACAGCCAAGTAAGATAATCCAGAAAACCACTAAAACACCACCTTGGAGGGGGAAAAGAGAGAGAGAGAGAGAGAGAGAGAGAGAATTGTAAAATACAAAGAAATTCACAAAACAGGACTTATGTCTATAATACTAGTTACAACTATTGCAAACAATCAACAAAAATTTTGTGGAACTGTTAGTTTATGAAATACTGTTGGCCTATAAGGATTAAATAAGCAATTGACATTTTGGTGTTGTCGATCTTTAAACGAAGATGTATCACGTCAAATGCATAATAAAATGTTGGAAACCATAAATATTGGGCAGATACTGCTGGCAATAAAATGTAGTTTCAAAATTGTCAAAAGGGAACTTACCCATTTATGGAGATTCCAAAATCCATTTTTTCTATCTGTAATGAAAAAAAGTTCTCCTGCACAAATTCAAAAATAGTTTAATATTTCACTGATCAAATTGTTAAACAACTGATACATGAATCTGTGGAAAAACTAAGAAATAAATTAGTATGGAAACTGAATGTATTTTGGAAAGCTGCTTATTTTAAATTATACAAGAATCTTAGGTTTATATACAACTAATTAGAGGTTAAACTAGGAAACTAAATCTTCCTTAATTCTGGGGATACAAATACTTAATTCTAGAGATACAAATATAAATATACAGATTACAAGATTACAACCAGTTGCAAAAAAGTGTTTTCCCACACTCCCCCTCAAGCTAGTGAATAGGTGTTTTCTATTCCCAGCTTGAAAATAATTTCTTGAAATGTTGCACTGCTGAGACCTTTAGTCAACACATCTGCAAGTTGACCCTTGGTTGATACATAAGGTGTACAAATCAACCCACTGTCTAGTTTCTCCTTTATGAAATGCCGATCTACTTCAATGTGTTTTGTTCTGTCATGTTGCACAGGATTGTGTGCAATGCTTATTGCAGACTTGTTATCACAGTAGAGTCTCATTAGTCCATCCCATTTGATCTTCAAGTCTTCTAGGATAATCTTTAACCATATTAGTTCACAAATTCCTTGAGCCATTGCTCTGAACTCTGCTTCAGCACTTGATCTTGCCACCACATTCTGTTTTTTACTCCTCCAAGTCACAAGATTACCACCTAAGAAAGTGCAGTAGCCTGAGGTGGATCTTCTATCAATTACTGAACCTGCATAATCAGCATCTGTATATGCTTCTAGAACTAACCCCGAATTTCTTTTGAATAAGATACCTCTCCCAGGATTGGCCTTCAAATAGTGCAATATACGGTAGATAGCTTGTAGGTGCACTTCTTTAGGACTATGCATAAATTGACTTACCACACTCACAGCATATGCTATATCAGGTCTAATATGTGAGAGATAAATAAGTCTTCCAACTAATCTTTGGTACATCTCTCTATTTACAGCAACATCTTCATTAGCTTCTCCAATTTTATGATTAGGATCTATAGGGGTATTTGCAGATTTACATGCAAGCTTTCCAGTTTCCTTCAGAAGATCCATCACATATTTCTGTTGTGAGATAAAAATACCATGCCGTGAGTGAGCTACTTCAATTTTTAGTAAGTACTTCAATCTCCCTAGCTCTTTTATCTCAAATTCTCTAGCCAAACACTGTTTTAGAGATTCTCTCTCTTTTTCATCATCTACAGTTATAATTATATCATCAACATACACTAATAGAACTGTGACTCTCCCTAAATCAGAGTGCTTGATAAACAATGTGTGATTTCCTTGACTCTGTTTATATCCCATTGCTAGCATCACTTTAGCAAATCTCCTGAACCAAGCTCTAGGAGACTGTTTAAGGCCATATAAAGTCTTTTTTAGCCTACATACTTTGTTTGCTTCTAGATGACCTCCAAATCCCGGTGGAACCTTCATATATATTTCTTCTTCCAAATCACCATGTAAAAAAGCATTCTTTACATCAAATTGCAGCCAATGATAACAAAATCCTAACTGTATTCATCTTGGCAACTGGAGCAAAGGTTTCCTGGTAATCCACTCCATAGGTTTGAGTGTAGCCCTTAGCCACTAACCTGGTTTTATACCTTTCAACAGTACCATCTGCCTTGTATTTTACAGTGAAAACCCATTTACACCCCACTGGATTTTTTTCTTTAGGCAACTCTACCAGTTCCCATGTCTGATTTTTCTCTAAGGCCTCCATTTCTATTTTCATGGCTTGCTTCCATTTCTCACTGGATAATGCCTCGGATAATGTAGTTGGAACAAAAATAGTGTTTAGGCTCACAAGAAAATTTTTGTGGGATAGTGAGAATTTTTCAAATGACACAAAATTAGATATTGGGTATAGTGGATGCTTGGTACATTCTCTGATTCATTTCCTAATGGCAATAGGCAAATCATAATTACTAGTTATAGTTTTAGGAGATTCATGCTCATTTTGAGAAACAGAGTCAAAAACTGTAGTTACCTCATTTTCAGAGTTAGGATCAGGTTCTTGGACTGGCACAGGTTCAGGATCTGAAACTTTCCTTCTTGAGTACACCTGTAATTCCTTCATAGAATCAAGAACAATATTATCCTTTGTCACATCTTTCGTATTTGGAATGGGTTCAGACTCAAATTTAGTGTTTGACTTGGGCTCAGCAGAAATAGGTTTCGACTCAGAAGAATTAATGGGTGTAAATGTTGAAGAAGGGGGCAAATCAAGCAAAAAGAAGCCTTTATCCTTATCTTCCATGAATGAAGTCTTCCTCTAAAGATAAGGTTGAGTAAAAAATGATTTATTTTCTTCAAAAGTGACATCTGCAGACACATAAAATTTTTTGGTAGGAGGATGATAGCACTTATATCATTTTTGAGTTGAAGAATTCCCCACAAAAATACACTTAATCGCTCTTGGATCCAACTTTCCCCTGTTATGACTGTGAACATGAACAAATGATGTACAACCAAATATCCTAGGTGTGAGATTGTTTGTGGTATTGAGGTTGGGATAAAATTGTGAGAGTAGTTCCATAGGAGTTTTAAATCCCAAAACTCTTGAAGGTAACCTATTTATAATGTGTGTGGCAGTGAGAACAGCTTCCCCCAATAAGATTTAGGTACATTTGCTTGAAAAAGAAAGGCTCGGGTTGTGGCTAGTAAATGGCTGTTTTTCCTCTCTGCCACTCCATTCTGCTGTGGAGTATTAACACAAGATGACTCATGAATAATCCTCTCTTTTTGGAAATAGATGAATAGACTCTGGTTGAAGTAGTCTCTTGCATTATCAGACCTAAATCTCTTGATTCTTACTCCAAATTGATTTTGGATCATGTTTTGGAAGCTTAAAAACATACTATTCACATCTGATTTGGATTTAAGTAAAAAAACCCAAGAGACCCTAGTACAATCATCTATGAATGAAACAAACCATCTCGTACCAGAAATATTAAGAATTGTAAAGGGACCCCAAATGTCACTATGAATCAAGTAAAAGGGAGTAGAACTTCTTTTGTTACTGATTGGAAAAGACACACGTCTATGTTTTGCAAATTCGCAAATATCACAATGAAAATCTTCAACATTTAATTCTTTGAACAAAGAAGGAAACATGTTTCTCAAGTTTCCAAAAGAAGGATATCCAAGACGAAAATGATAAAGCCAGAGTTTGTCTTTATTGAAAGATTTTTCAGAAAGAAATGACAAAGGTAAACTATTTTTTATACTACTTGTGTTATTTGATGTCTCAAGATAGTATAGTCCATCCTCCTTAGCAAATCCAATCATCTTTCCCGAACTCTGGTCCTGAAATTCACAATAAGAAGGATAAAAATTTACTTTGCAATTCATATCTCTGGTAAGTTTTTGTATAGATATCAGATTAGTAGACAATCCAGGAACATGAAAAACATTTTTGGGAACAAACGAGGGATTAACTTGAACATTTCCTAATCCTGCCACTGTGGTAAGTGAACCATCAGCAACAACAATTTTCTTATTACTAGGACACAGGTTATATGTACTAAACTTTTGTGGGGAATGTGTCATGTAGTCTGTGGCTCCTGAGTCAATGATCCAAGAACTCGTAATAGGCTTAGCCGAGACATTTAATCCATGAGAACCGGAAGCTTTACCTAAACTAGAAACTTTACCCAAAGAACAAACCATAGTAGGCTTTTCAAGGATTTTCAATAAGTTTCTCAGTTTTTCAATCTCTTCCCTGTTGAACTCTCCTTGTTTCTGAGACATCTATAGTACTCCAGTGATTTTCCTAGTTAATATTTCCTCAAATTGGGTGATAGTGATATCTTTCTTTGAAAGGATTCGGCAATGAAGGCCTAAACAGGATTCAACAACGAAGGCCTAAAAAAGTCAACAATGAAGGCTGAAAATTTTTCTTCCCAAGAAAAGCCTAAAGCTCTGATACCACGTGGAAAAACTAAGAAATAAATCAGTGTGAAAATTGAATGTATTTTGAAAAACTGCTTATTTTAAATTATACAAGAATCTTAGGTTTATATACAACTAACTAGGGGTTAAACTAGGAAACTAAATCTTCCTTAATTCTAGGGATACAAATACTTAATTCTAGAGATACAAATATAAATATACAGATTACAAGATTACAACCAGCTATAAATAAGTGTTTTCCCACAGAATCATTACTTTCTTGTAAGATCAGCAAGAATATCAAAAGGAAGAGGAAAAGCATAGAATTCATTGGCTCAAACCAGGCACAAAAAATGTACTAGAGTCAGGATTTGGACATTGATATTGCAAGAATGAATTCAAGTTTCAAGATTTCATTGCTATTATCAAGGAAGAAAAAATGGAAATCTGATGCCACAAATGTCAAAGAACAAATTACTTCATTCATGCAAACTAATATTTTAGTGTTTATACTAGGATGATATATTGAAATCCTATTTATCATATTTAAGATTGCTCACAAAAATTATCAGAAAAAAAAAAAAAATTGCTCTCAAATCAAGTGAATCATTATAGAATACCTGTAGGGGACCACTTTGGTTCGGTGGGAGACTCCACAATTTTAGGATCGCAACCAGCTACACAAACACATTTGTACACATCTCTGCATGAAAAATCAATCAATAGATATCAATGATATTTATGGTACTGGAAAAGAATAGCATTCATCAACAAATTTGGGCGAAAACAGGAGTTCTGTCATCTCTAAACAGAACAATCAAGTTTTCAATGTGAAGAAGAAAATAAAAAAGATAATAGAAAACTGGTTATGGGAAATAAAAAGATGGCTCAAGTAGAGCTATGCAATGAAAGAATTCAGCTCACCCATTCTCAGAAATATAGCCAACCCAGAGCTCTGCTTTATCCCACGGCATGTTAGGGTGGCTCCACTCAATCCATGCCATCCTTTCACCTTTAGGGTCCAAACGTGGGAAAGCATAGAAATCATTGCCACTCACTAATATTTTTGATTCTGAAGGTTGAAAACAGGCAACAAAAATCATTCCTTGTAAAAATGTGAAACAACAAACAATAACCGATAACATACAAAAACAAAAACCAGGCGCACAATTAGGAAAAGCTCTCGGCTCATGATAGCAGGACTTTCTTGAGTGGAGGATTTCCTCACCTAAGCCATCGATTCTGGTGCAAAATTTCATCATTACAAGCTAGTTTCATCTAATTTCTTCCATTCCAGTAGTGATTTCTTTGGTTCGGAAATAAATTTGGTGATTTGGTTTTTCATTGAACTTAATTTGGGGTTTTGAGAGAGTAGCGATCGGCGATGTCCAAGAAACCATCTCTTGCTTCACAATCCTCTTCCTTTGAGAATTCTGGTAAGGATCAATCTAATACTAAGATTAACAATGAGGACTGCGTGGTTGTTGGGCTGAATGCAGGGAAGATTGTCGATCTGCAAGGTAGTGAAAGGAGATTGCAAATGGATTGGAGGAATCTATTTGCAGCCCCAGTGGATCAAGCATTGGAGTACTTTCCCCCTCAACAGACAGATGGCAGAATAACTGTAAAACCTCCTGATGATGTCTTTGAGGAAGGTATGTAGTGCCATAAGGGAGACTATGATTCCGATTGCACTCTCAACTGCTAGAGCAGGTTCTGTTAATAGATTCTCGATACTAGAAGCTGTGCAGGAATCAGAATTGGTAGTGGATGAAGGTAATGTACATCAGAGTTCAAAAAAATGAGGCTGATGAGATAATTCCATACTCACCAAAGAAACAGAGAGCAGCAGCTGCAGGTGTCGCTGATTTAATGAAGGCCCTTAAAAGCAAGAAGAAAGGTCCAATTGATAAGGGGAAGAAGGTTAAGGCGAAAACCACTACCTCTGAAGGTAAGCCTAGTTGTTCTTCAACATGAAGCTGATAGTATGGAACACTAGAGGATTTAATGATCCTCGAAAACAAAAAGGTGTAGTAGATAGAATAAATAGAATAAGGGCAGATATTGTGTGTTTATTAGAAACTAGAATAAAGCATCATAAAATGCAGCCTGTGCTGGAAAAGCATTTTCGTGGTTGGTGTATTCTTCACAATTATGCAGCATCTCCAAACAGAAGGATATGGTTATTATGGAGAGATCATGTGCAAGTAGACCCACTAGAGTTTTCTGAGCAAAGTATTACTTGTGTGTTACAATATGAAATCAGGAAAGTTAATTTTTCTGCCATTTATGGGAATAACGACGGTGTTCAAAGAAGGAACCTGTGGTTGAACTTAAACTCACATCAGTGGTACATTGCAAGATGACCCTTGGATTTTGGCTGGGGATTTTAACATTACAGTCCATCCCTCTGAAAGCTCGGATTATAATGGAGATCAATCAGCAAACTCAGAGATGAAGGATTTTCAGAATTGCTTAACTCAACTAGGCTTGTTTGATCATGCTTATGTTGGACCTCAATTTACTTGGTCTAACCATCAGTTAGGAAGTTGGATAGAGTACTGATAAATGACTCTTGGCTTTTAGCTCTCCCACAGTCGCATGTTGAGTTCTTAGGTCCAGAAGTATCTGATCACTGTGCTGCACTTGTCAAACTCAGCATGACAATTGAATCCCCTCCAAAGCCTTTTAATTTTTTTAACTACTGGACAGGGAATCCGGAGTTCAAGTTAATTGTGGAAAGATCCTGGGAAGACCCTATTAAAGGAAGCCCAATGCTAATACTGCATAAGAAATTAAAGCGGTTGAAACTGGAGCTCAGGAAGTTCAATCTTCAAAACTATGGAAATCTGTCTAGTAGAGTGCAGACAAAGAGGAAAGAGCTGGAACTAATGCAAGAAGCCATTCTAGCTCAAAACCCACCAAAAGAACTAGTTGTGATTGAGAGAAGGCTATATGAAGAACTCAAGGACCTGATGAAGGCCGAAGAGAGTTATTATAGGCAGAAATCAAGAATAAGATGGCTGCAAGAAGGTGATCAAAACACAAAATTTTTCCACAATTTGGTAGCAGCAAAGCATAAAAAGAATACCATACGAGTCTTGATGGATTCAGAAGGGAAGAGATTGGATACGTTTGACCAAATTTCACAGGAAGCAACCTCCTTCTTTCAGAAGTTAATTGGAACTGCGGATCAAAATGTTACAGGATGCACACATTAGTGTTTGGCAGAGCTTCTACAAGGGACCTTATCTGCAAAGGGTCAAGATTTTCTCATACAACTAGTAACTAAAGAGGAAATTCAGAAGACAATGTTCTCATTGAATGGTGAGAAATCCCCAGGACCTGATGGTTTTAATGCTCATTTCTTCAAACAGACTTGGAGCATTGTCGGAGATGATGTTACTAAGGCTATAGAGCATTTTTTTTCAATCTGGGAATATGCTACCTGCTTTCAACTCTACAATAGTAGCATTAGTTCCTAAATGCACCAATCCTAATAGTATAAGGGATTACAGACCGATTTCTTGTTGCACCACAATCTACAAATGTATCGCTAGGATTCTGGCTAACCGGTTAAAGGAAACTCTGCCTGGGATGATAAGTCGTAATCAAACCGCATTTATAGAAGCTAGAAGCATCACAGATAATGTATTGCTAGCTCAAGAAATGGTTCAAGGATACGGCAGATCCACTTTATCTCCAAGATGTGCAATCAAAATTGATCTTCAGAAGGCTTTTGATTCAGTGGACTGGAGCTTCATACTCTCAGTCTTGTATGCCATGAAGTTACCGAATCAGTTTATAGGATGGATAAGAAGTTGCATTACTACTTCTTTCTTCTCCTTATCGATTAATGGTGGACTTGTAGGCTACTTTAACGGAGCAAGGGGAGTGTGGCAGGGAGATCCACTTTCCCCTTACTTGTTTGATCTAGCTATTAATGTTTTGTCGAGACTATTGGATGCTGCTGCCGTAGATGGTGTCTTTGATTATCATCCTAAATGCAAAAGACTTAAATTAACTCACCTTTGCTTTGCTGATGACTTGTTGATTTTCGCAAAGGGAACATTGGACTCAGTGATAGGGATAAAGGTGGTGTTAGAGGCATTTTATAATATGTCTGGCCTACAGTTGAACTGTGAGAAAAGTAAGCTCTATCAGGCAGGGGTTAGCAGGAAAAACTTGCCAGAATCCAGCAAGCTTCTGGGTTTAAGATTGGTATGTTACCAGTCAGGTACCTTGGGGTCCCATTGGTGTCTAGAAGGCTCACAGAGAAAGACTGCACACCCTTAGTTGACAAGATAACAGCAAGGATTAACAGCTGGGCTACAAGACACCTATCATATGCTGGCAGGTTACAACTAGTACAGTCAGTGCTTTTTAGCATGCAAAGCTATTGGTGTAGGCATTTCATCCTCCCAAAACATGTGCTGAAGAGGATAAACAAGTTATGTTCTGGTTTCTTTTGGAAAGGAAAAGAAGGATCAGCAAAAGGAGCTAGAGTAAGTTGGAAGGCAATATGCTATCCTAAGTCTGAGGGAGGGCTTGGAGTTAAAAGATATCTTGACCTGGAATCTAGCTTGTGTCTTGCAGAACATCTGGTCAATAATTGCAAAAGCCAGTTCTTTATGGATTGCTTGGATTGAAGCTTATGAATTGAAGGGAAAGACCATATGGCAAGTAGCTGCCAAGCAAACTAGTAGTTGGAATCAGAGGAAATTGCTTCCAATAAGGCAGATCACGCAAATTGTCATCAAAGAGGAAAACGGAGTGGAGGTATGGCCATTTCCAAAAGGACGTTATGACACTGCCATGGTATGGGAAAAGATCAGACCACAACAACGGAAAGTGGGATGGCAGAAACTAATATGGTTCAAGTATCACATCCCAAAACATTTACTAATAACGTGGATGGCGATTTTAAATAGGCTTTCAATGAAGGAGGTTGCGATCATGGGGAATGGGAATTGATAGTAGATGCAACTTATGCCACAATGAAGATGAAACAAGAGACCATGTTTACTTTGAGTGTGTCTATTCAAAAGAAGTTTGGCAAAAGATCCTTCAGCTATGCAACATTGATAGAAGAGTAGGAAGTTGGGACACAGAACTGAGCTGGGCAGAAAATAGATTAAAAGGGAAAGCTTTGATCTCAATTCTATTGAGAATTGCCTAGAATGCATGTATATACTTCATATGGGGGGAAAGGAATCAGAGCATATTCAAGCAAAGGGAGATGACGACTGCACAAATGGTGGACAAAGTCAAGGAAATTGTAAGATACAGGCTGCATGGATTGAAACATATTGCAGGAGATATGGTAAACAAAAAACTTAGTGAAGATTGGAATCTGAATGTAGAATTTCTAGAATAATCTGTTAACGAATTGTTTTTCCTTTGTTTGTTGAGTTGTAGAACACTTATATTGTAGCAGATTCCTGCTGTTTTTAGATGAATTAAAATTCAGTTTATCCAAAACAAAAAAAAAAACCAAACCCCTGTAAAAACCATATCATAATCATAATGCAGAATAACTCACAATCAAGATCAAGTTCAATATCAGAGAAACTTTTACCTTGGATATTCCCGTCATCAAGTGGTACTGCTATGATTGTTGTGGTTGAATTTATACTACTTCCACGGCGATCTATCAAGGTGATAAAATTGAATCAATAAAAAAGGACAATTCACCGCATTATCACTAGAGATAAGCAACATATCCAAAGGTCTAACCTTCCATTACAGTGATATAACGATCAAACTTTGAATCAAAAATTCCATCAGCATAACTGACAAGCGGTCCCCCATAATCTGGAGTAATTGGCACAGGACAAGAATCTGCTTTGCCACCCAATAAAATCAGTTAATTAATTCCAGTCAAACCTTATCTTCAAAGAAAAACAGATACAGTGATGATTTGAACCTGTGGAACTGATTGATTGCTTATACAATCTCTGATCTTCATAATTGGAGAAAATAACAGTATCCCTAGAAATCCTAAACGCTCCTCCTCCATACTCTTGAGCCACTGTCCGTACAGAAAACTCCTTTGGCGTAATATCAATTGGTTCATCTCCAGGCTTCGTCGCTTCTTTCACAAGAACCGCCCGTCTATATAAAAAAACAGAAATTGCAGTCTCCAATATACAAATAAAATCAAATGGGTATTGGGAGTTTTAAGATTTTAAGTTACCCTGATTCAGAAGGACGTGACTCGAGCCAAAAGAGATGGCCTTGGGAGTCAACAACGGTACCTTCAAGCCGTTTGGAGGAGCCTGAAACGACATCGGCGGTGATGGGGGATTTCCAGGAACCGTATGGAGCTGTTATTATTTTGTCTTGTAGTAAGGATACTTGAGTTTGTGAAGAAGCCATTATTTTCTAGTTCTGGCGTTGACTCTTCCCTGTAGCGATAGTGAAGATGATTCTACTACTGAAATTGGTTGAAAATGACCGCGTAACAGAATGGTGAAGAAGTGGATAGAGTTTGAGGAGACACTAACTCTAAGGAATCACATGTAAGCAGGTGTGTATAAGGGGATAGAGTTTGAGTCATCCGGGAATCTCGGAACCGTTCGTTTTTGGAATCTATGGTATGCTTGCACTTGACTTGGACTTTCAATGTGGAATCCAATTCCAGATTTATGGGATATTCACATTCTCGTACATATATATCAGACAAACCGAGCTTCCCTGTTTTTAGTTCTTTCCGAGACCATTATTGCACTTACCTAAGGTAAAACCCTGATCTTTATGTATTGCAGTTAAACAATTGACTTTGTTTGGATCATTGAGTGGGCTTTGATTCTCATAATAAATTATCAAAATTTAAACATGGGCCTTGCAACCGCGCAGTAGATTGATATCACTTGTTTCTTGTAAGCCTATGCCCTCTGGTGCATCAAGCTCAACAGCCCAGGAAGCTTTCACCTGTCTAACCTTTCTGCAATTCAAAACCCATTTTTGCCACTAGGAAGCTATAAGAATTGTTTGATCTTTTTTTCCAGCATTGCTAGTTTGCTAGTCTACTCCCTTTGTCTTTTGTATGGCCTGCAAAATTATGATAATATAGTTTTAGTTTTTGTTATCGTCTTGTATCCAACCCAGTTTGACTGGATATCGATATCCTGCAAAGATTATTCTTTACAAATCGATTTTTTTATGCAAATAAATACTAGTATATGTTTGCCAGATCTTTTCAAAGATATGTCACTATTTTGTGAAAGAAAGATTATTCATATTCAAAGGAATTGGAATAGCCAAATTCCATACCATAGACATATAGAGCCAAACCCCATATTTCAGACGATTGAATTTATCTAACTCTCGCCTTGTAAGATAGAAACAGTCTGTTGCTCCTTGATAAAGCATGTAGGAAAGAGAAAAAAGTGGCATTTAACTTGCCATAGCCATTAGCCTCTTGCTGTCTGCCTATCCCTTGTAATTCCACATGCTGATACCTCTATAAAAGGAATTGAGGTTTTGATCCATTACCTGACACCAGATCACATTTCAGGTAACAAACCTGCCTGATTAGCTTGGGCCCAATGTTTCCCCTAGTTGTTTGACTTCCATTATATCCAGCCTTAATTCTTTAATTCTTTGTCGAAGTTGGAAATATGGATTTTTTTTTCCTTTCAAAAGAAAATTAAAATCTTTGTTACAAAATGTAATCAATAATCAGTCTTTTTTGCTAATTGCAAGGAATGCATGAGATGAGAGTCATGGTTTTACTTTTTAAGGATAATTTCTCAACAAGAAAGCTTCTTAGTGAGATACAACTAGGGCACTAATTGCTACGAAAACTATAAGAGGAGTTCACTTTTAGAGGAAAAGTGCATATTCCTGCTTGGCCATGTTTTGTAAACCATCAAAGCATTGTCTTATTTTGAGCCTGGAGAGCAGGGTCCTAAGTTCTCAATGTTAAGTCAAAGCCATATCTTAGGCAGTAGGAGATCAGGCATGGAGTCTAGGCAGTAATTTCACATTCAAATCCTCTTATAGGCTTTTTATATCAGAAACGAGGACATTTCTAGTACTGATGAAGATGGTTACACACAATTAATTAATCAGTTTGGATGAGGTTCTTGGATATGATATGGAAGAGTTGGGAAGCATATCATGCTCTTTGACATTTTGCAAATTGGAAGATATAAAATATTCCAATTAAATACTAAAAAAAAAAAAAAAAGACTAAGGGAGAAAAGAGCACCAGATTCATGTTTGGGAAAAATACTTCTAAAGCCTGAAAGGGTAAGCACCTTGGGAAAAATATAGAATTGTTTGGGACATATGCTTCACTTTTGCCCCTGCTGGTTTCAGCTATCAAGTATCAAGACTTGTATCAAAGAAATTATTCAGGTGCCCATTTTCCATTTTTAAAAGATCTATCTGTTGCCAACTTTTTCGATTGGATGGTTACCTGATAATTAGGTCTTTTCCTGAACCTGCACTTAAACATGATTAAGTAATCATTAACAATAATTATATTGAAGCCATTAGAAAGTTACCAAGTTAAATTTTCTGAAACACAGCTGTAATTAAACCCAATGTTACTTTAAGTAAAAATTTCAAAGGAGATGAACTAGAAATCCTCTTCTTCTATTGTCTGAACGTGTTCGATCATGGATTAGCAATTAACCTACAGTGGCAGAACTCAATTCTTGAGAAAATAATTGCAAATAAAGGAAGACCAGCCATAAGTCAAGTAGAGCTTCAAGTGAAGTGGCATGGGATGGGGAAGTCCCATCATTGGCACAAAAGTTACAAGGCAGGGACAAAGCATTAAGATCGTAGAATCATTTTAGATTACTTTAATCCCATTTGAAACTCCCCTGGTTTGGATATACTAATATCAAAGTCCATTGTCCCGATCTGAAAAGATGGTAGAAAATGAACGATATTTGGCACTTAGGAAAAGTAAATAGTAATATTGATCATCTTCAAATCAAATGATAGATCAAGATTTTTCAAGCCGAAAACATCATATCCATCATTTCAGCTTAGCTTTACCCGATTTTATCTTCAAACACAGTCTAGACTTTGCAGTGTTGTAAGTCATTGGACCAAGTTTGCTTCTTAGCTTGCATTTTTGCAGTCCAAATTCATCAAATTCCATTAGCAAACTCTGATATGGAGCCCAGGCTAGCTGTTAAGCTATTCAACTTTCACACGCGAAGTATATTCATATGAAATGTAACCCTTTGTCTAATCAGTCTGGGGGGCCAAAACCAAAAGCAGATTTAAAACATATCAAGTTAAGATGGAGCAAGTTTTTTCAGTGTGGTCCATGACTATCTATCACACATTTATTGAGAGAAATGTATATAATTCTTGTTCTGCATTTTGAAAACCAGATTGCTGTGTAACATTACAGCAAAAAGATGGCTAAGACAAGATGATTTATCTAGAATTTTTTTGGAGATATTCAAGGTACTGTGATGATGCTGATGGTGCTTTTTTTTCTTTTTAATTAGTCTTTTTCAGATAAACCCCTCTCTGACAACGACCTGTCTTGTTTTCACATGGCTGCTAAACATAAGTAGAATTACTTTGTTAGGCAACCATTAACAGGGCATTAACATTAAGAAAGAATTGAAGGAGTTTCAAAAGAACAAGATCAATATTTCAGTTGTGCTGCCGCCTGAAATGCCTCTATCGAATGAGACTATGATCTGGCACAATAAAAAAGGAAAAGTAGCTGAGAGGCAGAGAAAGGGTCATTCACAAACAAAAGCGAAGTTTTTTCCATTTCACGGATAAACAGTAGAAAATTTGAGGGAAGATGAGCTGCACCTCAATAATTAGTGAGAGTTTGTGATTGGTTTGGAAAAGCATAAAGCAGTTGATGTTGATGCCCCATGTAATGATCAGAGAGGCACATGCTAAACCCAACATTACCAGAGTCCTTTTTTCATCTTTTTGAGAGTGTTTTTTCTCTTCATCTCATTCCCCACAAGTTGTGGTCCGACCTCCCTTATCTTATGCATTCAACTCCCTCTTTTTCATCACTAAACTTGGTCACATCAAGCTTTAGTCTCATTGTTTCTTCTCTTACTTGTAGCCTCCCTTCTCTTCTCTTCCCCACCTCAAAGATTCCAAGGACAATCAAACTAAGTGACTAACCACCTGCCTAACTCACTCCTTTTATTTCTCATAGCTCTCCCTTTTCTCCCTCTATTTAGTTTCATCTTTGTCATTCACCTCAGAATAGCTTCCATCAAGCTTCTTGAGTTGGGTACTCTAAACAAAGTCCGATAATGCCACCGATTCACTCTAGTCCATATTTCCAAATGGACAATCCGGCAATACTGTCCTTGCTCCGGCCCACTCCAGGAGAGAAGCATCGAAAGTCCGGTAGTGGCGGTCTCTGGCGTATGTTCAAGCTCTTCCCTATGCTAACCTCGGGTTGCAAGATGGTTGCACTATTGGGCAGACCTCGGAAGCCTTTGCTGAAGGACAGTGCTACAACAGGTACAATTTTTGGCTATCGTAAAGGCAGAGTTTGCCTAGCAATACAAGATGATCCCCATTGCGTGCCAATGTTTGTCATAGAGCTACCCATGCTTACCACTGTACTTCAAAAGGAAATGGCATCTGATATAGTCAGAATTGCTCTAGAGAGTGAAACCAAGACTCACAAGAAGAAACTGTTGGAGGAGTTTGTCTGGGCAGTGTTCTGTAATGGAAGAAAGATGGGTTACTCGATCAGGAGGAAACAATTGTCTGACGATGAGCTTCATGTTATGCAGCTCTTGCGAGGTGTGTCAATGGGTGCAGGGGTTCTTCCAAGCCCAAATGAGAAGGAAACAGCCGATGGGGAATTAACGTACATGAGAGCCAGATTTGAGAGGGTGGTTGGATCAAAGGACTCGGAAGCTCTATACATGATTAATCCAGATGGAGCACCAGGACCGGAACTAAGTATTTTCTTTGTAAGAGCTCATTAGAATTTGTGTTATTTGTATACTTGGAAATTTTACGTGAGTACCATAAAACTATTTTCTCTTAATGTTTTCGCTTGTTCAATGATGGAAAGAAACAGATCAGCATGGCTCTACTATGTCTATGTTCCATGGTTCAAACTAGCTGGTTTTGCGCCAGATGCCAAACCTAAATTAGCTGCTCTGTCACTTTCATGTTGTGGAAAGCCAATATCTGCTCCTGTTTCTGCCTTGAGAATAAGATTGAAAGCCGACATACCCTTTGTCTCGAACTGGACAATGAACATGACACGTTCATTAATGACGGAAAAGTTTTCTGGTTAAGCAAAACTTTTAGCATGGCATAATTCATTAGCTACAAATTCTGCAGATAACTTTGGCAGAAAGGTAAAAAGTGCTTGTCTTTTTGCATTAAACGTTTATCCAATCGACTTTCACAACATTTTAAGATTTAGTTAAATCTTTGCTGGAAATGATCTGGCAAATCTGAATTGGGGAGCCAAAAAGATGTCAGGGAAAGTTCCGTGGTTAATGTAGAGGCAAATACTAATGGTTAGCATTTAACGAAACTCAAACGTCAAAGTCTGCAGATTGAATTTGACAGGCTCCCAAATAGAACTTTCTGTGGTGGCTGAAATTCCGAGCATTTACTTTCATAGGCCTCCTAGGCTTAAATTCTCGCCACCAATATATGTTGACATCTTGTCAGACAATCCCTTTCGCAATCAATCGATTAGCTCGTCATTACTTTTTTTTGGCCAAGAGCTCTTCATTAATTTAAGTACAAGCTTTGCCATTCAACTTTTGAAGTCAGTTTGATTTGCAAATCCTGGTTCTGTTAAGAAGATCAAAAATACAAAAGCAACGCCACTGGGACTAGCTAGCTAGTTATTGCCCCTATAGAATCAAATGAAAATCCCACTCATCCAAATGAAAGGGGGAGTTGGATGGAATTTCCATACCAAAAAAAAAAAGGTATAAAGCTGCTGACAGCTTTGATAGCGGCAGGAAAGTAGAAGAAACAACTAGACCAACAGAGAAACAAGACAGGATAATAAAAAGAAGCAACCTGTTAGAACAAAAGCTAGAAAACAAGCAGATACAGAACAAACTACAACAAACGGAAGCTATATAAGAAATGGGATGAGAATAGACCAATATATATAAATATATATATGCACAAAATTGACATATATATGTCGGATGGAATTATTATTGCAGCTTGGAAGGAATATAAATCAAAATGTTGATTCGGGTGATGAAATTTTCAGATATAATAAAGAATGGGAAAAAGGAAAGTGAGCTATACGGTTTAACCAGAATCACACAATTTGGAGGACACAACCCAAAATATCAAAACTAGCCCATATATGGCCCATATCTGGTAATTTTGGGCTACCACCAATAAAAAATACTCAATCCTCCCTCTCTACTCGGCCCACAGCCCTATTGGACTAACCAGCTGTCTACGGAAAAGAGAAACAATACCCAACACAACAAATTTCTCTCTTCCACAATCATTTTTTATTATAAAATATATCGCTTACAATTATTATATTATAATCAATAATATAATTTAAAACACACTTACAAAATAACGGACCATTACATAATTTTTTTATTATAATTAAACAATTACAAAATTATAGTAAAAAGGTTTTCTATCTATTTGAGCCAATAGGACTTGGATATTTGGTCCAACAAAGTACTATGTATTCTTAGTTTAGAGATTTGTATATCCTTTCGAGCCAAAATTCATACTCTGATAAAATTTAAAAAAAAAAGCAACATATTAGAGAGATTTGGGCATTTAAAGACTACAAAGTTTTTTCTTTTATCTAAGCAATTTTTATGAGTTGGGAGCTAAAAAGAGCTTTGAATACAAAAGCAATACCATTAACTAATTTTAACAGGTGAAAGCCAATGCTTTTACTCTGTCACATACTAAATGGAGTGTGTGTAACAAAGTAAGGTTCTGTTAGGGTGACAATAAAATTAAAATTAATAATAATAATAAAATATATGTTTAGATAAAAAAAATAGTGATGAAGAAATGATGAAGTATAATGAAATAAGAAAATAAAAAATAAAAATATTATGTATTTATTTAAAGTTTAAATATAATAATTTATTTTAATTAATTACTTAATTACTAAGATATTTATTTATTAGTTTATTATAATAAATTTTATTTGTTATTTTAAATTAACAAAGTTATTTAAAAATTTTTGAATAAAAAATTAAAAAAAAAAAGACAATTGGTGGGGATATTTTTGTACTTACACTATTTTTAAGGGTAAAAAAGAGAATTTTAAAATAGATCAAATTACAAAGTAAAAGACGGTGAAAACAAAAGAATTTCAACTGGACCTTAAAGCTCCAGTGTAAAAAAAAAAAAATTGTTACAATTGAATTCATTCAACTGTATATTTTGCTTTTGTATCGTTTGGATGTAAACGATAACTTTTGAATGCCAACTGCATCACACCGAAATTCCAGTTGCATCCAAATTTACCTTAAAAATATAATATTAGGAAACAAAAGAATTATTAAAAAAAAAAAAAAAAAGGGAAGATCAACAACCATTAACCAATGGGTTGACCAGTAGTACAAAGATGAGAAACCAGCCATTATCTGTTGTCACGAGGAGTTGGGCTCTAAATCCGCCAGACTCCAACAGGACCAAACCGACAGGCAAATGGGTTGGAAGGAGACAACATTGGGCCCACCCTCATGTCATCTGGTTGCCAGCTGGAATATCAACTGCCCAACTGCTTCTTGCAAAACTTACACAATCACAGGCCCACCATAAAACTCAAAAAAGAAAAAGTCTTATCAGTGGTGCCACGTAAGCGGCTGATATCAATCCCCGTTCACATTGCTGGACGCCAATTTACTTGTCTTTTCGCCAGCGCGTGAATCATACTCCGTTGGATTTTAAATTTGGATTCTATTGCATCTTTTATAATATACCGATTAAATTTAAATATTAATTTTAATAAAATTTATTTAATATAAATTTTTAATTAAAATTTTTTTAATTATAATTATGATATTTTTTTATTAATTTTTTAATTTTAATTATAGTCCTGTTTTAAAACGCTCCCCATAAGAACCGCTACTGCCAGCGTGTCTCAGTGCGAGAATGATTTTATTATTTTTCTATCACAGACATTTATTAATTAAGAAAAGCATTTAATTTTATTTATAAAATTTAAAAAAAATTAATGATAATATATCAAGATTAACGAGCTCTTCGACTTCACTTTTTTCACCCATTTTCATGAATATTTTCGCCATGGATTTAAAACATGAGCGGCTATTTAGCTAAATCAGAGGGGCCAATGTCCCCACGATTTTGAAAATTTTCCTTTACATATATATATATATATATATATATATATATTTATATTATACATATTAAATAAATTTAAATTGGCCCCCACAAATTAAATGATTAAAATATATTAAAATTTATCTATTTATTTTATCCACTAATCATTATTCACAAATATTTAATATTTATTAATTTATCTTAAATATTAAGTTACAATTATACAAATTTTAAAAAAATTAATTTAACTTTTTAAATTCTAATTTACACTTTCAATTGGATAAAAATAAATAAATTTAGATTTTTTTTCTTTGATCTAATTATTGTAACATTTTTTTTATTCTAAAAAGTTTCTTTTAAGCTCTTTTTGTTCTGATTTACAGCTTAATTTTTTAGTTTTCTAAAAGTATATATAACAAAATTGTTAAAGATTAGTTTCTTAGTTTATTTTTATCTTTATATAATATATTTGTATTTGTCTTTTAGCTCAATATGATAATTTTTTTTTCTCATACTTTGTTAATGCTTTATACATAACAATGACTGTCTTGATAGTTTTTTATTTTACAATGACTCTATAGATTTTAATATAATTAGAGGTTAGATAGCAACCAACATGACTTGATATTAAATTTTTTAAAAAAATGACTTCATGGATTTGGTTTTTGGTCGAATAAAAATAATTTTGGATGGATAATTGGAAAGGTATTTTACATGATAGATTGATTCATGCTGGAATTGAGTTTTCAGTTTTAGGTGATTATATAAAATTTCAAGTTAAGTTATATTAACTTTTAAAATGAATTACTCAATTGGGTTATATGTATTTGATTAAAAGTATAATATTAATAATTGATTTATTTATATAAAATTTTTAATTTTAAATTATCAAATGAATTAATAAAAAAGTTTAGTTCAGAAAACTTGGTGGTCAACATTGAAAGAAAAACTGTTGAAACATTTACACTATGTTTGGATTGGAGGGAAGGGAAGAAAAGAAAATGAAAGAAAGATAAAAGAAAGTAATGGAAACAAAAAAACCCTTCATTTATTTTGATAAACTTTTAATTTAAAAGAAATGAATGAGGTAAAAATTGAATAACATTTGGTTCCCTTATAATTCTCACTTTTTTAATATACAAATTTGAGCGAAAAGCTAAAGAAAAGAAAATTGAAAAAAAAATTATTTTTATAAAAATATTATTACATTCATCATTTTATTAATATTAAAAATATAGTAAAAAAAAAACCTAACCACATCACAATCTTCTTGTAATTTTTTTAAAACCATATATTTTTTCAAATAAGTTTCACATGTCTCTTCTAATATAAAAATTTTTTTATAATTTTTTGGTGATTTTAATTTTGACGAATGATTGAATATGAATAGACATATTTTTTGAGTTTATGAGATGTAATGTTTTTATGTAATTGTATTTTTTATATTTAATAGCTTTTATATAATTACATTGTCAAAGTGATAATGTGCTGAAATTTTGGTAATGATCAAAAAATTCATTAATGAATGTTTGTAAAATATTTTTTTTGTTTTATTTAATTAAAAATCACTGATATAACAGTAATTATGAAGCCATACAAGATAACAAACATATTATAATTCAAAAGTGTTTTAAAATCATAAGTAATGAAATATTATAATTGAAAAAATATTATAATAAATCATTTCTTTTCTTTTTCACTTTTTATGCAAATAATGGGTGTTAGAATTAATTTTCTTTGTTTCTTTTATTAATTTTAATTATCCAAATAAATAGTACATATATCATTTTCTTTCCTTTAAAAAATTTTATTTTCCTTTCATTTCCTTTCCTTTATAAATATTTATCCAAATATTACCTTAATTCATATTCAATTTTTGAAGATTTTGTTTCTTTAAAAGAACATCGACCATAATTTTAGATAAAATTATTTATTTGATGTAATTTGTTTTCTTATACTTTTATATTATAAATTGATAAAATTTATGATTTTATAAGGTTGTGATTTTTTATTAGTATATTATTTCTATATATTTCTTATGTTAAAAAAATAACATAAGTCAAATGAAATTATATATAGTATTAAACTTTTAGTTGGTCTCTTCAAAATCAGATGTAATGATCCATAATTTAAAACTAATTAGTTTTCCTTATTTTATCTATTTGTAGAAATTATTCCTTTTTTTTTTTGGTGCTTTAAAGTACATTAAGATGAAAGAATGTTGTGGGATTTAAATTTAATTTTTGCCATGCAAAAGTAATTTTTTAAAGCTCTTATCCGTGACCATGTGATTGGTACAACAAAAATAATTGTTTTAGCGCATAAAATCTCTTATATTGTTGTAGAAATAGTATAATTTATGAAGTGAATGTCTTGAAATCTTATAATTGATACAATAAAACATAGCTAAAACCATAATAATTTTAAAAACCTTGAAATTTTATATAACTATAATTAAATTGCATCAAGATTCACGAAGAGAGCTCATTTTTTTTTTACACGAAGGGAAAAAGTGTACGGTAGGGATTACTTCTCAATTTTCAAATTGAATTGGATTATTAGACCCAAAATGGTAAACTGGCAAGTCAAGACAAAAACACAAGGAACAAATAAAAGAAAAATGATGTAATAGTACTATGCCTGGGGATGAGCATCTACACAAACCTTTCTCTCTCTAGTCTATACTTGACCCACCACCAACTTTGCAAAAGCCAGTTTCCTGGAAGTACCCCCTTCTCAACATGCTAGGCGCCTAATATGTTCATGCACCCCCCTTTCCTTCTCTATATACAAATAACAAGCAAAAGCTTGAACACATTTCTCTTCTACTTCTACTGATCTCTAATGGGTAAGTGATAAAAGATGGAAGCAATGAATAGGTGTTCATCTTCTATATCATCATCTGATACATCTTCTTCACAGTCATCTTTCTCTGCAAGGGCTTCGAACAAAGCCGAGAAGATCAAAGGTCCTTGGAGTACCGAGGAGGATAGGATTTTGACTCGCCTTGTTGCAAGATATGGACCTAGGAACTGGTCTTTGATAAGCCGTTATATAAAGGGTCGATCTGGGAAATCTTGCAGGCTTAGATGGTGTAACCAGCTCAGCCCCAATGTTGAGCACCGTCCATTTTCTCATGCTGAGGATGAGACCATCTTGGCTGCTCATGCTAGGCATGGTAACAGGTGGGCCACCATTGCTAGATTGCTTCCAGGAAGGACTGATAATGCTGTGAAGAATCATTGGAACTCGACGTTGAAGAGGAGAGCAAGAGAAGGACAGCTTCAACAACAACAACAACAACAGCAGCAGCAGCTGCTGCTACACCAACAGGAACAGATCATACAGAGTCATCATCAGCAAATGGTGGATGGTGATAGTGCATTGGGATCTGCGGGGCTGATGATGGATGAGGAAGCGTTGACGGCGTTGACTCTTGCGCCGGCTGGTAGTGTTTTTGGTACTAATGGAAGTGCAGTTGTGGCGGAGAGGAGGAGGAGAGAGGATAGAGTGTCGGCCGGTCAGTTTTGGGATGTGATGAGAGATGTGATAGCAAGAGAAGTGAGAGAGTACATGAGCTTAACATTATCAGCTGAAACATCAGGGTTTCATTAAGACCAAAAAGGAAAATATTGGCCAAGGCAATATGTTTTGTGTTTCCTGTTTTCAATTTCTTTGGTGTTCATTTGGTGATCATCTTTGTTTCTTTCTTTTTTTTTCTTTAAATGCAAAAAACTTTGAAGAAATGTAAGATTTTATGAATGAATGCCTGAGCTAGAGGCATTAAACAAAAATACTCTCCAAGATAATTCAGCCTGTCACCAGACGGGAAAACACAGAAATATTGGTTGCTGAAAAATAGAAAATTTTGGGGGAAAACTATACTTGTTGTTTGAGGATTAGAATAAAATAAATAAAGATCTTGTGAGTGGTGCTGAAAATTCTTTAATGCAATGATAAGGATTGAAATGATTATTTATTAGCATCGATGTATGTAAACCCCCTTATCATCACCTTTGTTTTATCCCTAAATTCAGTTCCCAGAGTTATAAATAGAAATAATTATGGAATTTGTACTGTAGTTTGTGATCACCTGGAAAGACAAACTAGTACTAATGTTTTTGCTCAAAGTGCAAAAACACTGCAACTTAATTATATTTTGTCTCAAAGTACAATTGGAAGGAACATTTGAAAATAGCAAGCTGCTGGTTGTTTCCCACCCGAAAAAAACTCATAGATGCTGTTCAACCAAAAACAACAATAAATCCTGATTGTATTTGGCTTGGTTCCTACTCCCCACTACATCAAATTGGAAATAACTGTAGACCAAAAGGAAGCTGTTTTTTTCACCACTCAAAAGCTTTACTTTTTCCTGAATGAAATGCAAATGAATAAGAATTCAATTGTACAAAATAGCAGTCTCCACTGTCCCACGTTGAGCTTTGGATATGGAATTTTACTGTGTCAAGCATTCATTTTCAGGTTCACTGAACTCTTTGCATATGCTTTTAGTTGTTCACTTGGATGCATCGAGCTCAGTCAAATTAACTTTGGCAGCAAACATAAAAAAGCGCCAAAACATGCTAACCCCACATTTTTCATCTTTTCTGCATGCTAAAATCTGGGGTGTCTTTACCCACATAAGTTCAAAGAATGGTGGACCTTGCCTGATGAAAAAATGGGGAGGATTTCTTTGATAGAAGGGTAGAAAAAGCAAGAGAAGGGCGCACTCTCTTTCGATCAGGCTGGAAGCAGATTCAATCGAAGCTCTGTCCCACTTTACAGCATCACCTTTTGGTTTTTTTTTATTTGATCAAGGCTCGCATTTTTAAACGTGCCAAGACCATGTGCCTTTGGCCAAAAAGAAAGTTTTTAAGAGAAGCAGCTTTCAATGCTGGCTGTTTGGTTTAAGTTCAGAGGTTCAATTATATCTATTGCACTCATGATATACATCCAATACGCAATTTTTAAAGATGTGTGAATAGGAATAACCTTAATTTCAAGGGAATCAAGCTCTTTATTTCATGGGGGTCAAAGTTCTAGAGGAGGACAAAAATATCTTAGAACACAAATTACAGATTGTGAAAACGTTGAATTTTTTGGTATCTGATTTAAGCTAAAACAACTTCCATTACAAGAATGTTATGCCTGAATCCTGACAAGATAAAGGATATTTTACTAATATTCATAAATCTCTAATTTTATCATATCTGAAGGTCTTTTTGAAATTGATAAGTAATCAGTTGCCAGGAGACACTCCACCAGAACTGACAATCTTTGCCAAATGCCATTACAAGTACATTTGCACGGATCAAATTTGAGCATAAAATGAATGATCTATTGATTTTGGTTCCATCTCTGTCATTCTACCTCTTGGCATACTAGCTATAGGCACAGTGTACAGCCAATGAACAATGGTCCCTATTGTTGTCAAAAGAAGCATCATTGCTAAGGAGACGTGGCCCGGGTAATCTTTTTGTTAAAGGTTAGATAACAAGTGAATTTATTTATAAGTTTTAACCTTTGTTTTTAAAATTTTTTATTCTAATTAATTTAAATGATATCATTATCTATAACTAAAAAAAACAAAACAAAACAAAATTTGACATTCTGGACCTCGCATGACGAAAGCTGAGCTTTAGTTCTGAGGTTAGGCAGGTTAGGAATTGAAGGGCAAAAGTAAGGTGGTTTCTGTTTTGGGGTAGAAGCCTGAATTTACTTATGGATTCCACTTACAGAACCAGCATGTATAGGATTTGATTATACTTGATTGTCGGGATATGCATGTTCTATCTGTGACAAACCCTGTCATTTTATTATGCTTCTGATGAATATATGGCAAAGGTGGCAAAAAGTTTTTGATTTTTCTTTCATTCCCGTTACAAAAGTGAGGTTAAACATTTTTGCCCTTTTTTCTTTAGGTTAACTAAATCTGATATCCATTCAATAACAAGAAACATACAACACCTTTGCTTTAACAAAAACGAACACCAATTCACCAATTTATTTCCTGTAACTATACCAATCGAACGGAAAAATAAAACAAAAGGTATAATAACATAGAATGGTTTTATTACTGATGATCAAGTGATGACCCTTTATTATATTTATTCAAGCAAGGTTGATGGTCCTCTCCCATGTGATGGAGTGGCTTCAAACCGAGCACAGTGATTGTATCAAGGATTTTAATAACGTGGCCAAGGCACAATAATCAGCTTCATCAGCCCATCTTTGCAGTCATTACCTTCAGCAGAAGCAAAGTAGAAAACCCTCCATTGGTTTAGCACAAATTTGTAGCCATCACCTTGCCCTTGTGTTGGATTAGCCAAAAGCTTTGCTTTACTGAAATCGCATGTCCAGTAACTCCACAAGTTTGGCAGCAAGTAAACGCTATGAGCTGGGGTTTGCTCATATTTGAACACTGCACAAGTTATACAACAAATGGTAAAATAAACATCAGTAACATAGAAAATGGAACCAAAGACTCATGAACGTAATATGGTTTGGTTGGTATGAACCTAAGGTGTCCTCAAAGTAAAAAGGTGCATTGTTGGCCGCCCACTCAGTGTAGTTGTAGCCATAGCGCCAGTTTTCGGAGCCTCCAACGACCACGGTTGCAGCCTGAGTGACTGCCAAAAGAGAGGCAGCTACAGCTACCAAGAGGATAACTTGTTTAGCACTGAAGCCAGAAGAAGCCATTTTGTTCTCAAGTTTCTCTAGTGGGAATGAAAAAACCTAGCTTGGGAATTGAGATGAAGAGATGCCGATGAAAACGGGAGAACGAGTTGGGGCATTAAATAGGAGAGACATGGCAGTATTCTTCAACAGGATCCTCCTCCAGAATCACATTTTTTTCTATCTCTAGAAGGGGAATAAATTCAACATTTTCACAATTTCAAACTAAGGTAACTTCATTGAAGCTAGCTTTAATTCTTTTTCTCATTAACTTCACTGAAACTATCCAATAGAATGATGAAAATTGCATTTCTCATTGCCTTTGAAAAATGTAAGCAAAAGGGGAAGGGTGTAACTGTCATCTGAAAGGGTTGAAGAGCAACAATTGGTCATGAAAAATTGGGTGGATGTCCATTTTGAGATAGAACAAAAGGGTTTGGATATGATTAGGCGGCCGTTAAAGTCATCCAAATACAACTGAATGTTGGTTAGTAAACCGGTTTTAAGTACACCTGACACGCGGTCAACCGACGGCATTTCTCCTAACTCTTACTTTGAGAGGTTGGATGTTAACTGAAATCTGTTCACTAAAAAAAAAGTCTAAGAGCCGACTTTATTAAAGTGGACTTTCAGAGACGACATTTTAATTTTTATTTCAATTTCAAGGCCGGAAACCCAAAAAAAGGGTTGGCTTTAGGCCAAAGAAATAAAATAAGTCCATGGAAGGCAATAAGGTAGCCCGGCCCAAGGAAAAAAGAACATGGAAAATTTGAAGAAATGCTCGTCGGTTTATGTTGTCCCCATCCCATTAACGGTGTCTTCGTTCTTCCGGCGGTAAAGTTTCGAACTGAAGTGTTCAGCGGTGAGTGTTCTAGATTACCTTGCGATATTGCCTCCCTTGGTATTTTTTTTTAGTACGTTTTAGTTTGTTTTGCTGATTTTTTTAATTGTAATAGCAACTACAACATGAACTCTTTTCTTCTTTATTTTCAAAGGCAGTGTATATTAGTTCTAAGTCTTGGATTCTACCATTGTGTGGAAAAAGGTAAAAAAAGACCCATTTTGTTTTTTATTTTTTTTGGATAAATAAAAAGACGCATTTTGGAGGTTATATTATTGTATAAAAAAATGATAATTAGGGAAGAAGATGAGTTCTGTTCCCAAACAAAACTTGTTTTGTTTGAACTGGCCACGGGATGCAAGTAAACAGCCTAAAAGTCCTAACCTTTGTACATTTGAAGGTCTTTGGTTAATCAATTCTATGCAGAATCTTTGATCCGTTGCCCTAAATACCTTCAACTCAGTTCCGAAATCTTCTGGTTCATGGGTTAATAATTTTAATCCTGCCCAATTGGCTGCTGGGACTAGTCAAAATAGCAACTTGAAGTTGGAAACAAAACAATCGAGTCCCGAAGAACAAGTGGAGGCAGAGCTGAGCTTCCGCCTCAGCACTAGCGAGTGAGAAGGAGGCTACAACGATTGAGTTATACTCACCTGAATGTAGTTTATCTAATTCCTTAAAATTTTCATGGAGGTGGAGAATAGGAATTCAGATTGGCTCAATATTGTCTTCGAACGGTAAAAGGACGAGGGGAAATGGCAAAAAGTAATAACAAAAAGTTAGTGGGAATCTATGGGAATGTGAAAGTCCAAAACCTTTCCTGGAGAAGCCCTTTTCAATAACGTCGACGAGCTTTTGCAGTACTTTTTTTTCTGGTTAGTGTCAGAAACCATGGAAGACAACCTTAACAATTATCCAATTCAGAAAGTCCAATCCTTACACCAACTCTCACTGAGCAGCACGTGAACACCTATGCCAATCTTTCTCCTTTTTTAGCCAACCAATGGTCACCACCACTGAGGTAAAGAGGGAAACCGCTATCTTCTCGTCTTTCCAAACTGAATCCTTCGTCTTTCCCTTTCCCTTACCCTTTTCCGTCTCTGTTCGAATGTAGTTGATTTGAACAGGGCAGAAAGAAAGGACTGGTGTCTTTTTCACCATGTTTTGTTTTTTTTCTTAGCATGCTCAGCCCGTAGAATGACGTCTTTCAAGGGCTCAAACAAGTATTCTTTTCATCATATTCTGGTGGTTGGTGTCGAAGGTATTTTTCTGCACCACAGGTGAATCAAGTTCCAGCAGTCGTAAACAACAGCATGCTTAAATATGGTAAACAACTCAAACACGTATGTTATTTAGCCCCAAAATTAGAAGAAATCAATGATATTAGCAGAGGAAACGAATTTCAGTTTAACAAAACATGATCCAAGTATCTACAGATTCTTTCAAAGTTACAGCCTACTAAACCTATAGATGAACTCATTCTACTGGTGCAAGCCCTGAACGTAAAAGAATGAGGAAATTATCAGCTTACAAATTGCAGCTGAGAGGATTTAGCAACTAAGAAGCCTCGTATTTACAGCGCATGTAGCAGCTTAACCTATGCTAAATGCGCTAGTCACCAATGCCCGAGATGGTAATGTAAAAAACTTTCCGCTAGAAACCCCACAGGTTTTTTTTTTTTCTAAATAAATGCCGGTTTCTCCAAGATTTCCACATTGGAGCCTTGCTCTCGTACCTATCTATCTGAAACAAGTTTCAGACGTGTGGGACTTCCTTTCCTTGAGTATGCCCCAGAGCACATGGATGATTGTTCACTGCACCGAGTGGCGTATTGCTGGAAACATGTGAAGAAGAGCTGAAACTATGTGAACCATGGATCAGTCTTGTTGTAGATGTATGACCGGAGACCTCACGAGGAGAAAAGAGGGGATGATGAGAAGCCGCAGCACAGTTTATGGTTTTGGCATAGCCTAATTGACCAGTCTCACTGAGGAAGATAGAGAAAGAAAACAGAAATTATATATCCTGAAGCCAGATCAAATAGTCATGCATGATAAATATTTAAAAGATGAATAGTCCAGAGTGGAATGTATGTGAAGAAGAATCAAACTCGTTCCACATCAGTGTAAATATGCACATTGTATACCTATTACATGGTAATTTCCCATTCGTGATCCTTGTGCTTGGGGAAGTAGACATCAATACAAGTTTATGTGTAGAGCAGTTTCTTGGACTATGTGATTTATCCTATGTGAACATAGACATAGTATTAGTGTAATATTAATAATTGCATTTCAGCGCAAGATGACCATATTATTTGGAGCTCATTAATGGTCCAAAACAAAAAACTTCTGGTTCATGCTTACTGTTAGATTCATTATAGAAAATGCCTGCACGAGGACCGATCCATTTTGATCAGCTGAGTTCCGTACAAAAGGATGCTCAAGTAGCTTAGCTGCCGATGGCCGCTCTGCAGGATTTCTTTGAAAGCAACAACGTAGAAAATCCTTTCCTTCTGGAGATAATGCTTCTGGCATAGGTGGGGTTTTGTTCAGAACCTTGAACATAGCCTGAGGCTGATTGATACAAATTGACAGTCAAAACATTAATATAAGACCCTTGGTAAAAACATTTTTTCTTTTCTTAGTTAAAGTATGAAAAAAAAAAAATTGAATCACACTATATAAGAGGTGGCCAGGACAAAGAAAATGTTTCCTGGAAAAGGAAAAAAAAAAAGGAAATTTCTTCAATCCCATGTAAATTGGATTAACAAAAATGTTGCAGAACCATATGAAAGTTCATTTAATAATAACAGCAAATCTATCAGAAATAAACTGAGCAATTAAATAACACTGAAAAAAGGAAGATGCAAAATCAAAGCCGCGGTATGAAATAAAATAACTTCTGTCTCTTGAAATTTGGAAATTGGTTCTGATCTAGCAGGCTCCCTCCTAAACAAAATCCTTTGATGTTAAGAAATGATACTGTTCTGCTAATGAATGCATAGTTTTTCTTCAAAACAGAATACTAGCGAAAGACAATGATACGTAGAATAAAATTTAAACTATTTCCTAGCGTATTAATGGATTGAATTAAATTCAAGTGAGATTATACTACTATCAGGCTCTGAAAACAAAGAATGCTCAGAGTTTTGAAGAATCCAGTCTACAATAAATAATGATGAATAAGGTTTGATCATAGGCATGCCCAAATAAAAGTTTGAAAATAGGCTTACCCCTTCAAGCCCACTCCAAGGAGGTTTACCATTAAACATCTCAATGACAGTACAACCCAAGCTCCATATGTCAACAGCCAGGGCAAGATTTGGGTTGGAATCTTTTTGCATGACAGCCTTTATGACCTGCAACAGAAATAACAAAGTAAAAAAAAAGAGTAGAAACAGCCATGGAAATCATAAAAATATGTACAATTTACTGTAATGTGAATCACCTCAGGAGCCATCCAGTAGGGACTGCCCTTCAAAGACAGCTCGTATGATAGTGCCGTCAGCTGCAAAATAGAAAAACAAAGAAATGAACAATTAGACTGAAAGCTTTTAAACAGTCATTTAGCACATATCACCAGACAAACACAATCAATCATCATAATCTCAAAGTTTAGAGAAGCTTCTTCATAACTTGATAGAGTGCATAATTCGAGATAAACAACCGTAAAGGTGGCAATTGATATCCTTGTGCTATTTATGACCCTAAAGAGAAACAGCAGAATCCTGCCTAAGGCTGGAAAACTTGGCCTTTGAATGAACAGGCTTGACATAGGAATAGCAACAAGTTCTCATTATGTAAGGCAATAGCAACCCCTACACATATTTATAACAGGTGCTGAAGCATGTAACCACAAGACTGCTCCATATGTCACCACAGAATGCTTATTGTTGAAACATGTAAATTGAGACGTGATCAAATAACATATGTAAACTAGAAAATAAACTGCAGAAAGGAATTATTAAAAAAAAAAAAATTAATACTGAAGGAGCATGCAAAGGTAACATAACATTTAGAGAAATAAAATTTGCACCAAACCATAATAAGTAAAAGGATGTCAAAAACTTACATGTTTTGCCATGCCAAAATCAGCAAGTTTAACAACACCATTGGCATCGACAAGCAAATTTGCTCCTTTTATATCCCTATATGAACAAGCATTCAAGTCAAGGAAATTTTATGTCAACATGGAACACCAAATCCGACAACACAAAAATAGATTCCCATCTTGACAAAAATGTTTCTAATTCAACCATTTGGATAGTTGCAATATGGATCAAAATTTTCCTAACTAGAGAAGGCCTATTGATACTTTACAATTTTACAATATATACATTTTGCAGAGGTTTGCTCCCCCATCGCTTATTGGTTCACTGAATTTCAAAAGTGGTAAGTGTAAATGTAAACAAAGAAGTTAAGCTGCAATGTAAATTTTCATTCCTTCTAATAAAGCATGATTTTCACCTGTGGATTGTCTTTGAACTATGCAAGTATGCTAAGCCAGATAGAATATGGCGGGTGAAATTGCGAACTATAGATTCTGTTATAGCCCCACAATGTTCACGGATATATTTATTAATTGAGCCGGGATGGACATACTCCAAATATATGTAAAAGTGATCATCAACCTACATATGAAACAATGACCCCGAAATTAACCAAGCTTATTAAAATATCTATTCAAGCATAGTGTAGGATAAGCGGAAGGACCACATACTATTTCACTGCCATAATATTGAACAATATTTCGATGCTTTAAATGTCGCAAAACTCTAATTTCCTGCAGCACATAAGACCAGTAAGATTCTCAATGGTTTAAAAGAGATAAGTTTACAGCAAAACTGAAAGTCCAAGTAATCTGATTGAAATTAAGGAATAAGTTCATTTTCAGTATATGTAATAAACAGTCAAAAGCATGGTGTAAAACTTGTATCATGATCTCAGATAAATATGATTAACTTAAGGGTTTCATGGACAACTTTAACAAGTGCTCTTAGATGCTTAGCAGAACAAAAGGAAAAACTTAGTGAATGGTCTTAAACCAAACACGTGTACTTCTAAGACAAAATTTCTTTCCCTTAACGATGATGGAAAAGAAAATCCTCGTACAACAGTCTGTTTCCCATAAAAATCGCTTATAGCATGATCAATTTGGAGGATAATGATGCTATGCTTAGAATCCACTAGATGAACAAAGAATCAGAAGCTAAAAGAGTGAAATTCATTGAGCCAAAAATACTTCTTCCTTCTTTTTTTCCCCTTTTTTATGGGGGAAAGAGAATAGATCATAAATCATACTGCAGTTCTAAGACACTTTCAAGCCCCAAAATTGCAACAGATAGTGGAGAAGGAAAAGTAAAATTGATGGCTGCTAAGATGTAAACTAGAGCTAAAGAACTTCAGAGGATAACCTGCTCTAACTGTTTTATACATTCAACAGATTTAGGGTCGTCAGGGATGACATCAACTTCCTTCATTGCACACAAAGCTCCAGTCTCTCTGTCAAAAAATAATATATAATAAAATTAAAGAAATGTCAGGTTAGTTGAAATCAAGAAACCACTTTAAAAATTGCTTCACAATGCTGGCATACCTGTTGGTTGCTTCATAAACACTTCCATATGTACCACGTCCAAGAAGTCTTCCTTTCTGCCATTGGTTTATCATTGATGTTGCAATTGGCTTTTCTATGATGTAATTTGAAACAGGTGAGGGTAGTGGCAACGGTGATTGTGATGATAGTAAAGCTCCAGGAGGTAGGGGCAACGGATGGGCGTTTACTTGAGTATTATTTTCAAGCCACTCCTTATGGCTCTCCATGGGCAATTTATGGTGTGGTGCTACTGAAATTTTATTTAGACGGGGGCTATGTGGTGGAGAATGGTCAGGAGAATGTACAGTTTTTACAGGTGAAGTATAAGCAGCTGACCTACCTAAATCTGGAACATATATATCTATCAAACCCCGTAATTCTTGAGGTCCTGAGGAGGAAGAAGAAAAAACATCTACTGCTTTTGATCTTTGTGGGCTAACGGAGGGACTAGAAAAAGCAGTTGTTGGAGCACTCCTGGCTGGAACATTCAGCCTCAAGTTGTGGTTAACATTCCCCAAAATTTTCTCATGTGAGAAACCCCTACGACGACTTAATAAAGATTTGGTTGAACCTGTAACATCATTAGAATAAAAGTGATCTTGGGTGTTTGATCTTCGAGGACTTGCAGGGGTTGAGAAAAAACTTGTTACACCGCTCTTTGTAGCAACTCTTGGGTTTGGGCCATTAGTAAAGCTTTCAACAGGTTCATCTTGAGAGAATCCCTTATGAACATTGACCAATGATTTTGCTGCACTTTCAGCGGCATGATCTGCACTCTTCCTGATAATTTCAGCAGCAGTACAACAGCACATTAAAATGCAATACTTCTAATGCCAACAAACCGGCTTCAACATACATACATATATGCAACCACCAGTTCACCATAAGAAAAAGAAAAAGTTTACGAGTGAATGACAACAATGAATCCACTGTGGTCAATCCAAATAAAGAATTTTCTAAAATGGGAAAAAATTATGCATCTATTATTTTAATATAGATCTTTGCATTGATGAGTTTATATATAGAATTGAACATGATAACTAAATAAAGAAATAAAACAATCATGAACCAGCAAACGTGGTTCTTTTTTTCTTTTGGCAAATCAGTCTTTTTTATTTCAGTTAACAGTTGAGGAGCCATTCAATTATTACCCAGTAAAAAAAAAGTTGAGAAATAAACTAACAAAACAATTAAAATCAAGGGCTACCTTCCGACAGAAGAGGTGAGTCCATCATCAGGTGATGCGAGTTGACTCGGTCCAGGACTCGAACCCGACGTCTTCGATTTCCGATTTCTGAAAACCTCAGGCAGAGGCAAAGGTTTCGGCACAGCAGACGAAGACCAATGTTCCAACCAGTCAGGAGACCTCAATTTCCTTGCAGGAGTCCTAACAGGCGAACCGGGAGAGGAAAACGAACGATCGATATCACTAAACCTTAAGCCAAGCTCATCATCCGTCGCGTGCCTGAGCTTCCTCTGACGCGTGAGACGGCGTTGCTGCTGTTGGCCTTGGTTATTACAAGAATTACCGGCATTGTAACTGTTGTCGTGAAGATGAGAATGAGACGACGGCAAAGAAGAAGAGAGAGAAGGAGAAGTTTTACGGGAAATAGGCATTGAAAAAGGAAGAAGAGACGTGTCTTCGTTAATCTCGTCCTCCTCGTGTAAAATTAATGCATAAAAGATAAAGAGCTTTTGACAGAGCAATGGAAACATCTCGGTTCTTTCCCTGTTTACTTTGTTTTTTTTTTTTAAAATAAATTAAATTAAGTTACAGTCAACTCAGATAAAAATCAGAGACTGAAAAAAACAGTTTGAACTGACATTTTTTGAGCCTTCTAGTTTGTTTTGGTTTCAATCAAACAGCCTTGTGTTGGAAGAAATCGAAAAATTGACAGAGACAAATATACTTTCTATTTTTCTCTTTAAAAGTCAATACCTGATTTTCTTTCTACTTTCTTTTTTTAGAATTTGCGTCTGACCAAGAGCATGAAGAGAAAATAAAAAAAAAATGAATTTTTTAAAATAATAATTTATGGATGAATACAAATTAAATAAAATAATTTAAATTTTCTTATTAATAAATATTTCACAAAAAAATTAAGTATAAATCCAAATAAAATTAAAAAATATCAATTATATACAGAATAAAACAAATTAAAAAGTTAACGTTGACAAAATCAATAATACGCCGTGTTGGAGCTTTATAGCTAAGTTGAAGTGTTAGTGCACGACTCTTTCAAAATGTAGCTATGGAGAGTTTTGATTTATTCCATTTAAAAAAAAAAAGGTAAAAAGTGGTACATCAACACTAAAATTTGACTCATTATTATTGTTCTTATTTATTTCTGGATTATCCAAAAATGATAAAGTATGAAAAGGGCAAAAGCATGTGAAAACTTCGTAGTCCAAGTCAAAATCAATTTTAGGTACATTCACATACTAGCTCTTATTCATTTTCCACGTCTATAAAATTTTGGAAAACACTCCAAAAATTAAAAGAAAGGACAAAGAATAAATTAGTTAAGCTAAATACTTGATTTAACATTAAATATTTAGAATATTACTCTAAACGTATCATTTTATCCAAATTAAATCAAATTTATTATTTAAGATGATAGATAAAAATTATGTGATATTTGTCAAATTAAAAATTTTTTTTTTCTATTCAATTTTTTCCTTGCACTTTCTCTTTGTCTTTAAATATCCCATAAACAACCCAAAATCTTCTTCTCTCACAACCGATATCATTTGTTAAGCAATATCAAATTTTCAACTAACAACCAAAAGTCACACATGACAATCCAAAAATGCCGTAGTAATGGCAAATATCAATCATTGAACCTCATTTTATTTCCTTACATTTTGCCTTATATTTTACCTCATTTTCTCAGACAAACAACTAAATTCTCATAAGCCACTCCACCCTTACCTCCACCTAAGCCATTTCCTCTTTTTTTTGGCAAAAGTCAATATGACAAAGATGTATATGGAACCTGACTTCCCTTTCACCCATGTCCTTTCCTCATCTGTTAGTATTTCAAGGCCAAGAGAGGTGGCTTGATGAGGAAGGAATGGGAAATCGTCAAGTCATTATATCTAAGTTTTTTCATATATTTTTTTAAAAAATCTAAACGTCTAAGAAGAAAAAAGAAGATGAGAGAAAGAAAAAATTTATTTAAAATAAAAATCAAAGTCAGAGACGATCAGAAAGCCATATTTTTTGTTGTTATGGTAGCTATAAAGAATTGAATAATTAGGGAAATAGTGGATGTGAGAGAGAACTGATGAGAGAAGAGGAAGAAGAAAACAAAAGTAAAAAAATTAAAACTTTTCATTTAAAATTTTTTATTTTTTTATGAGTTCAACAGCAAATTTTGATTTTTTTTCCAAGTCAAGTTGATTTTTTTTTTATCAGCCTGTGCTATATGTTTTTCAAGTGTTACAATTTAAAGAGTTAATAGAGCATGTGTTTTACTTTCTTAATTTAAAAAAAAAAAAATTGAATTGATCAAACCCGAAAACATTTGATATCGATTTGAAATCAATAATAAGTTTAATCCAGAGGTAAGCAATTAAACATTTACCCAATTAATTAATGGGTGGAGATTTAAAAAGAAGTAACCTCAAAAAATTAGAGACAAGTTGTGTTTAGTTAGGAAAAAAATTTTTAAAGACAAATTTCTAAAAGAGGTTTTATCTTGCAAGAAGCTAAAAAAACTGTCCAAAAACGTTGTGGGCTCTTTAGAGTTTTCAACAGCCCAATGGCTTCTCCTCAAATCTGACCCAACCCAATATATAATCTCCACCGTGTCTTTGCCATTTGCAACGATTACTAACAACGGCCCCGCCGAGCTCCTCCGCTTTGAATCCCACTTCCAGCCGAATAATTCGTCGCTAAAAAAGACTTCGCTGCAAATCTCTCCACATTTGCTGATCATTTCCACGTGTTTAATTGATGATTGCGCGTGGTATCAGAGCGGTAATCATACGAAGCACGTCCCAATTTCCCCTACGAAATCTCACCTTTTTTCATTCATCCGCCGTTTCAAACCCTAGATTCTCGAATTCATTCGTCGATGATGACGAAGGAGGCAGCGCGATTTACCGACTTGCACTTAAATTCCAGCGGCCGACGACGGTCAAAGTGCAGCCTAAGTTGCGGAACCATGTGAGTTTCATAGGAACAGTGGATCGGCCTCTCAAAGTTATCAGGACTACAAGGGCCGACAATTTTGGGGTTCACACTTCGCTTAATGTCAAAAACCCCCAAGACTCCGATCGCACGTTCAAGTCAGTTTCTTTCTTTCTTTCTTTTCAAGTTTTTTTTCCTTTATATTGAAATTTTAATGTTGGGATTTATGGTTTTTTAAAACAGGATATTACTGAAGATGTGGAAGGAGATGGGGGAAATGTGTGTGAAATATGTGAAGCCTGGTGATTTTGTTTATGTTTCAGGGCATTTAGGATCTTACTCCAAGGCTGCTGAAGATAGACAACTCAGATTGTGTTATGAGGTTCCTCGGACAAACAGTGCCTTCTTTTGTTCTTTGCAATTGTTCATGTTTCAGGGAATTTAATAAAACTAATACTGCCTTGATTAATGTTGGTGTCCTTGCCTTTTGATAGAATGCATTGAGCTAACATGATAAATCCAATGTTATGTATACCGTTGGTTTGATGTATACATTTACTTGCTTTATTGTTTTTCATGGAAATATGTATTTATGTGGATTGATTTAATGTATTATTTTAGGTAATTGTAAAGGAGTTGAATTATGTTGCACAACCTGGTCATAGATCAACCTGCCAAAATTACAAGGAATTACAAGCAAAGCAAGGTACAAATGTTTGTCTTATCATTCTTAATTTGTAAGCTTTAGTAATTGTCTGTTTTGCTGTGAAATTGTAGCTGGACCTAACCTAGAAAACAGCTTCTTTTGTTGATTTATACATATCCTTCACCACTTAGCTGGACAGATGTTTAATATCTCAGAAATATAATGTTTGGCCAATTGTAGGAGTTTGTGATCTATAATCTTAAGAAAATTGCTAATTATAGAAATCACTCTTCAACTATTATCAACTTTGAGGTTTTTGATTTCTTCATTTGATACATGCCTTGTGCATTGTTTCTTTCTCTATTTAAAGATGTAGGTGAAGCTGGTATGGAAAGGTATGATAGCCAACTTTACCTGTGGCAAGTATTTTTTTCCAGCCCGTTTGAATGGTGGGACAATAGGAAAAGTAAGAAAAATCCACGGCAGCCAGATTTTAGGCACAAAGATACTGGTGAAGCTCTCTGGCTGAATCCCAATGATCCTCCTTGGATTAAAAAACAACTTGAACTGCTTGATTCAAAATTGGCAGAAGGCCTAGGTGATCAAGTTCGTTCTCATTATCGTGTATCTGAATGGGTGTATGATGAATAGGGTAAATCTGCAGGACTTCGAAGAGGAGCAGGTAAGTAACATTTGGGGTTCACTACAGGGCAGCTGCAAACCTGTAGCATCAGCGGAATGCAAATAAAGATCTTTGACCTTAGCCATCAAATAAAGGATAGTAACAAAAGAAAACAACTATGTTATCAATAGGGGATGTAAGGTAATCGTAGAACTAGAGCTATGTGGCTAACTGTAATTCTGATTCTTTATAGCACTTTAGAGGTATTGTTACTTGTTTTCTTTAGTTGAAATATTTTATTGTGGAATTTATTACTTATTAATCTTACAATATATCAAAACTTTTGTAAGACAGTACAAAATACAAATGAAACGTGAATACACTTTTGTACCATTCATTCATATTTGAAAATTTTTAGTTTCTTTCCTGTATGTCTTTCACAAACCCAAGTTTTCACTAAATCTGACAATTTAAAATACTATATGTAATAGGACATGAACATGATACAAAAATAACACCAAAGTGATAATTGACAATTTTAATAATAGCTATATATGGATTAATAAAATTAAAAAATATATATTTAATATTTTCGTGTTCATATAAATTATGATATGTAATTTTTATATAAAATATGATATAAATATATAAATTTTAATATTTTACACTGATCAAATATATAAATCGCAAAGATTTCTCAGTCTAGATAAAGTGCGTCATGTCTCTTACAAATGGATTTCTTGGATTGGCTTGGCTGAGTAGTGGGCGCAGGCTTTTTTACATGTACTTGTATGGATTAATGGTTTTGCTGTTCCCGGATCTTGGGCTATTGCAATGGCCCATATGATTTTCCTAAACCTATGCTTTCCATGATGCAAATAAAACTCAACTCATTGCTGCAAAAATATTTTTATAAAACAAAGCCTACTGCTCCATGGTGCGAGAAACAGAAGACTATTGTTTCATATTAGAGAGGTAAGAAGTAGAACATAAACTACATTAGAATTCAGAGGAAGAGTGGACAAACGTGTAGGTTTACAAATTTTAACCCAGTTCCACAATCAGCAACATGTAGCGCATTACAAGCGTGCTTGAAGGTAATTGCATGTCAAAATGGTGATCAAGGAGACAGCATAATTAGTCCAGGCCAGACATTTGAACCAGGGAAGAAATGGGATTGTAATGGCTATGAAAAATGATGTGAAGGCAAAGAAGAAACCAACTTGCTCAAGCACATCGGCCGCAAGATAAAATCTGGAATGTTTTATGAATCTGCTAACGATTAGGAAAGCAAATGAAAATGTTATTGAAAGAGATAGTGTGTGAAATATCAGAGGAAAGGGCGATTTAGTTTGCAAAACCTGGAGAGCCATTTCAATTGCTGAATTTAGACAGAAGGCAAGCAACATTAGGGACAAGTCAAACTTGTGTTGATCAATAGCGAGCCTTGCTGGTTGAGGTTGGCCCTCTGCTGCTGCTTGGAGTTGTTCGTGAGCAGCATTTCGCGGCAGTTGTTGCTGTGGTGGCAAGAAAAACCGCAAGAATTGGCAGATATATGCAATATTTGAAAGAAAGAATTCCCGGATTGCAATATCCATTTCGATGACTACGGGCAACTGCACATTGAGGAGCAAGTCTTGTTTTGGGTTATATTTATTAGCCCTTAGAACCCTACAAGTTCAAGTTCCGTTCGCCTTTTTAATCACAATAAGTTCCATTCGCCTTTTTAATCACAATAAGTTCCATTCGCTTTATTACTTTTTATAGAGTTCCAGTCACTGAGTACAAAGATCTTGTTCCTAACTTACTATGACCAATTATCTTTAATTAGAATATCAATATTGCGCACTTTCAACGCTGCTCTTAAAGTTAATTTGACAAGCCAATGACAAAATGACGTCTGTACTTCTGCAGTTGGCCTTATCAAGATTTCGAAGACAAACCTTATGTCAAAATTTTTAGATAAAATTTATGAAATTTTTTAATAAAATAATTTAATAAAAAATTTAAATTGATAAATTAATAAAATTTAATAATATATAAAAAATTATTAAAAAAATTTATAATTTTAATTTGATTAATATTTTGAAGGAAAAAATTTTTATTAATATTTTAATTAAAAATATTTATTTAAAAATATAAATCAAAATTTATTAATTTTTTTAAATTATACACATTTAATTTATATAAAACTTTTGTAATTTATTGATTTTGATTTTTAATATTAATTTTGATTTAATTATTTTTAATAAAAAATTTCAGAGCATTTGCTTAAGAAGTTTCGCCTTAGTCTTTTTCGGATGGAATCGTCTACTTATTAAAATATTTTGTGTCAATAGCTGGTGGAAATAACAACAGAATAATTTAAACCTCATTTTGTCCATTGATAGATTTTAGTCAGGAAAGTTGACTTTAATTTCTCTTTTACTTTATGATATAAATATAAAAATGTTCTTTTGATTTAATTTTTTGATTTTGATTTTGATTTTTTATTTAAAAATTATGAAATATAATAAAAGTATTATCATATAATTAATTAATTAATTAAATTTGTTATATAACAAACTATTATTTTTATTAATTTTTAATTATCATTTAATAAACAAATTATCATTTATCTTAAAACTAATTTAATAATTTTAAATTTTTAATATTAAATATTAAATATTTTAAAATTTTCGTTATATATAAATTTTAATATTATATCTTTAATGATCATTTCTTTTCTAATTACAATTTACTTCATTTCTATAATGATACTTACACTTAAATATATATCTTTATCATTAATTATAATTTTATTATTATTATTTTTTAATTTTATTAAAATTAACCTATTCGTCCATATAAATAAATTTTTAAATTGCATTTGGATCATTGATTAATTGATTCATAGCTTCTATTGTTAATGGAAGCTGTTTGAATTACCTACTCTCGCACAGTTTAACCTTTTTTTTCTTGGCATTGGAGTCTCTAATCGCCACTGAAGTTAAAGGGTTCGATAAAATATCAATCTCTTCACTGCACCCTTCTTCCTTCTCATGTCCCTGCCATCTTTATTTTTTAATTTTTTAATTTTGTTCTTCAATGCATAGTGTAAAGATGAGTATACCCCTTACTGTTTATTGTCTCTTTATGCCTCTTGCAATCATTTTTTTTTTACCTTTCGTAGGCACGAGAATACCCTTATAGCTTAGTTATTGTCATTTTTTGTTATTTATATTTTTCATATTTTATTTATTTTTTCACCTAATATTATTATAATTATATAATAAATCATTGATATATTTCAATAAAAGATTTAAAATTTTAAATGTTAAATAACACTAAAATATATAAAAATAATTTATTATTATATTTTTATATTAATGTTTTTAATGATAATTTTTTAACAATAATTCACCTTACTGACTATCATAATTGGCATCACTACATTTATATCTAAATATATATCCTACCATTTTTTAATCTCACCATAATAATAAATAATTTTATTTTCATCATTATTTTCAATCTTATCATCTATCTAATTAGATTATTAGAGGCCATTTGGATTTAGTTAGACCTTCATTGGGATGTAGTTGAAACCTTCAACTGGATTGAAATTATGTGTGACACATCAGTGCAGTGCAATGGGGTGTCTTTTAATTGCACTGGACCTTTATTTTTTCATTGGATATTGTCCCCTCCAGTGGAAATGTTCTTTAATTATATAATAAATCATTGATATATTTCAATGATAAGTTTGGGGTTCACTGCAGGGCAGCTACAAACCTACAGCATCAGCGAAATGCAAAGAAAGATCTTTGACCTTTGCCATCGAATGAAGGACAGTAACAAAAGAAAACAACCATGTTATCAATAGGAGATTTAAGGTAATTGTAGAACTAGAGCTTTGTGGCTAACTGTAATTCTGATTCTTTATAGCACATTAGAGGTATTATTACTTGTTTTCTTGAGTTGAAATGTTTTATTGTGGAATTTATTACTTATTAATCTTACAATATATCAGAACTTTTGTAATACGTGTACAACATACAAGTGAAATGTGAATACACTTTTGCACCATTCATTCATATTTGAAGACTTTTAGTTTCTTTCCTGTATGTTTTTCACAAAACCCAAGTTCCCAGGTAAGGTGTGACTTGTGGCTCTTGCAAATGGATTACTTAGATTTGCTTGGGTGAGTAGTGGGCTCCGTTTCTTATGCATGCTTCTGGGTGGGCCTTGGGCTAGTACGATGGATATATGCCCATGCTTCCCATAAAGCAAATAACTTTGCATATTTCTCAACCTATTGCTGCAAAAATTATTTAACGGAACAAAAGCCAATGCACCATGGTGCGGGAAACAGAACATTATAGTTACATACATATTAGAGAGGTAAGAAGTAGAACATAAACTACATTAGAATTCAGAGGAAGATTTGACAAGCGTGTAGGTTACAAATTTTAGTGTTAATTTATTTGATAAAAGGAGGAAAGGAATCCAGTTCGACAAACAGCAACATGTAGCGCATTACAAGCGTGCCTGAAGGTACTTGCATGTCAAAATGGTGATCAAGGAGACAGCATAAATAGTCCAGGCCAGACATTTGAACCAGGGAAGAAATGGGATTGTAATGGCTATGAAAAATGATGTGAAGGCAAAGAAGAAACCGACTTGCTCAAACACATCGGCCGCAAGATAAAATCTGGAATGTTTTATGAATCTGCTAACGATTAGGAACGCAAATGCAAATGTTATTGAAAGAGATAGTGTGTGAAATATCAGAGGAAAGGGCGATTTAGTTTGCAAAACCTGGAGAGCCATTTCAATTGCTGAATTTAGACAGAAGGCAAGCAACATTAGGGACAAGTCAAACTCGTGTTGATCAACAACGAGCCTTGCTGGTTGTGGCTGGCCCTCTGCTGCTGCTTCGAGTTGGTCGTGAGCAGCATTTTGCGGCAGTTGTTGCTGTGGCGGCAAGAAAAACCGCAAGAATTGACGGATATGTGCAATATTCGAAAGAAAGAATTCCCGAATTGCAATATCCATTTCGATGACTACTGGCAAATGCACAATGAGGAGCAAGTTTGGTTTGGGTTTTATTTATAACCCTTAAACGCAACCATTTGGTCCACTTCCTTTCTCCTTTATTAATTATATAAAAAATAGTGAGCCAATCTCATACATTCCTAGACCTCCCTTCCCCTTTATTAATTATATAAAAAATAGTGAGCCAATCCCATACATTTCTATATGGATCTATTAGACCTCCCTTCTCCTTTATTAATTATATAAAAAATTGGAATAATGAGCCAATCTCATACATTCCTAAACCTCCTTTCTCCTTTATTAATTATATAAAAAATTTGAATAGTGAGCCAATCTCATGCATTCCTAAATCTCCTTTTTCCTTTTTATTAATTATATAAACAATTG